TTCATAACATAAACTTACACAATGAAAAGTAATTAACAAAATACAATAATATTAAGATTTAAAAACTCTTGTTGGTTGGACTACCCTCATCATTTAAAGACACATATACTATAATATTAAAATTTCGCAAACAATAAAAGGATGATAACATCTAAATCCAAACCAAACCCTCTCCACCGTCGTCTCTATTCCTAACATGAGTCAGAATCTTCTTCCTCCTTTGCTCTCCTCCCAACATCTTGATCTATCCAGTCAATAATCGATCAACTTCTTTCACTCCCTCCTAAGTCAAATAACTTGGTTCAAGCTTGATTCCATCCATAAGCTAGTTTGATTCATAAATTTCAAATCGTTTAGTGTTTGGACTAACAGTCTATGCCACTTTAGGAGTTTGTCAGTAGTTTTAACACGTTCATCTCTTTTTGGGAAGTTCCCTAACTATTTGAAGCGTTCATAAAGTTCATACTTTTTTTTTCAACTTTCGATGGTTAGGTTGATTTCTTGTTTTTTTTTTTGAAGAATAAAAGCTGAAAAATGAAAAATGAGAAGACATGAGTGTTTGTTATGAAAGATAATAATGTGTTAAATGAAAGAGTACTTGAAGCATGTATTAAATCAAATTTGAGAAACGATATACAGAGGGAGAGGGGGGTAAAAATACAAGGATAAATTTAACTTAAGCGAAAATCACTCTACGCAAGAACAATTCACTATAACTTACAAGTTTTCTAATCAAGATTTCAAAACCCTCTTATTTACATTATGGTCCGGCCACCTCTATTCATAGGGTTAAAATTTGGCCGATAAAAAGCCCAAGTTCAATATAAACTCTAGTTGAAGTTTAAAAAATAAGAATAATATAATACATGTGGTAACTGGCTAACAGTTACAATACTTAGTTGAAAGTTACCTAGAATAATCTTAGTGGATTGTATTGAGACTTCATTATTATTCGTCTGAAGAATGATAGCCTAACTATTAATGGTGATACAATGTAGGTTTTGAGTTGAATTGATGTGCAAAGATGCGACGATGATCACAACAAATTGTTTATTGACTGGATACTTTGTGCTGAAACACTAGTCAACCACTAACTTTGTCCAAATTTCTATATTTCCCCGTCGGAGATGGGACTCATTTCATATTTGTTGATACCTTACAATTTATCATTAGTCCTACCTTACAATTTGTCATTGGTCGTAGTTTCCCTCTTCTTGCATAGGAGAAGATACAAAGATCATTTAAAAAAAAATGAGAGTTTTACCAACAGATCTAAGAGTTGAGTGTAGAATTTACCTAGCTTCTTCATTATTATCAATAGCTTGCTCTACATTGTATTGGGGACTTTTTCATTATATTTGGATTAATTAGTGATCCTCAAGTTTAGAAATATTTAAATTCAAACTTTTATTATAGTTTTGTTGAGTTTGAAAATTATAATAGTTGAAAAAACTATCAAGAAATTGTACATATCCATCCACATCATTGATTTTTTTTTTTTTTTTTGTCTCAATGAAGATTTCAAACACTTCTAACACCTATGTTTCAAACATATTGGTCATAAACAATGTTGTATTATTTGTCAATCCTCGAACAAATAGAAACGTGACTCATTGACTCTCATCTTTACCTAATCTCTTTAAACCTTGACGTCTAACAGCTCATTTTCCATGTCCACCATGAAATCACTGTTTAGGATTCTTTGGAAACCATCAGCAGACCTTTTGGGAATTTCACTTGGCCACAATTATTTAGAGTTACTCTCATCAATTAGAAACGAATGGACTAAAATAAACAAAAAAAAAATTAAATTGGTCTAAACTAACCAAAAAAAGGTGAAGAAAATCTATCGATACTTCTTTTGCTCTTACATTAATTCATCCACTAATATGCTACAATTTTTAATAAAACTATATCGATTGGCAAGTGTATTTTATGTCTTTTGTTTATTTTTTATTCATAATTTTAAAATTTCCATTATTTCTTTTATTTGATCGTAAACACTCTATGATTGTCTTATTTCACTAATTCACTAGTTTAGTTATAGCTACATATTTGCCGTATATTCACATAAAAACTACATATTTTATAGATCAAATAATATAGTATTGATAATACACATTGTATAAACACCATCAAGATAGTAAGTCTACAATATTTTTATATAGATGGACTTCAAGTTATATGAATATAACAAGTTCAAACGAAAGATAATAATATGATTCTTGGAAATGTGTATGAGATAACTCAAACCATCACATTTTAAATGAAAAAAAGACAAAAACTTTCTAGTTATATTCGAATGACTAATTACAACCCCTCGACCACCATTAAATTTGAGGTTAATAGTTCAAGGATGTCAAATGACCAAAATGTTATATTGGTTTTTCCTATATGTAATTAAACTTGAAAAACTATATATTCCGTTACTATTATTCTACTTTTAGCACTTCTTCCAATTTATGTTTTTTACATTTACACTTTTCTTCTTGACTCCTTTGCCTAAAATAATCACTCCCAAAACCACGCCCATCCCAACCATTATTTTTTATTTTTTTCTTAAAATCAGACAAACCCCTCAAATAATTGCACAACCTCATTCCCATGAGTCATTATATCGGACACCATGGTTTACTGTTTTAGGTGAACTGGTTTTTAGATTACACACGCTTATAAAAACTCTAATTAAGGATTGAGAAAAAATCTAAAACTAACTACTTAAAATGCGGTATAAAAAATAAAAAATAAATACATAAATATAACTTTAACTCTTCTTCTCGATTGTAGCCTTCATCATCTCACCGCCATAAGATTTAATCCTGAACAAATTTAAGTTAGTTATTAAGATATACACACAATTTATATTATATATATATATATATATATATTAAAACCCATAATATATTCTACCAAACTTCATAAAAGTATATGAAAATATTCAAATATAAAATTAATCGTTAATTCATAAATACAAAGTAATAAAGTATGTTCATATTCAATAACATAGTATAAAATAATTCATAAGTTTGTTATGAAAAGTTCATGTATATATAGTGAATTTCTAGTACGATATACAAATATAAGGTACAATTAAATACAAAAAAATTCATTACGAGGTAATTAAATATTCATGAAAGTATACAACTATGCATGACATCAAAATACCCTTGTTCAAATGAATTAAAGGAAAAAAATTCATATTTTAAATACATAAAATTCATGAGAACGATATTCATATATAGTGAAAGCAAAAAATTTATATCTTCAATACATATAATTCATGAGCACGATATCATATATAGCAAAAGCAAAAAATTCATATTTTGAAGATATATAATTCAGGAGTACGATATTCATACATAGTGAGAGCAAAAAATTCACATCTTCAATACAAATAATTCATGAGCACGATATCATATATAGCAGGAGCAAAAAATATTCATATTTTCAAGACATATAATTCATGAGCACGATATTCATATATAGTGATAGAAGAAAATTCATATCTTCAAAACATATAATTCATGAGCCTTCTGAACAATATTAATACACATTAGTGAGTTTATAATAATTTTATTTTTTTTAAAAAAACTAAACATTACCAGAGTCATGTTGAGGAAGTTCATCTTCAGGAGTGCATGTTAATTGAAGTTGTTGCCCCAATTCATTATCTTGAATGCGTATCAACTAAAGTTGTGACAAATCATCATCGTTGACTCCATCAGTCTCCATGTTGGAATGAAGATTGCAATCCTGGTTAAGACCGTAGTTACTGTTATCTTTTTAGTGGTGGTCATTGTTGTCTCCTTGATAAACTTCTGCATAATCATCGTTCATGAGAACAATAGAATCATCATAAATGATATTATCAAAAGGATTTTGATTTAAATTAATAAATGGACGAAAGAAAGATGCAATAGTTGTGAAAATATACGGGATTTTCAGTTTGGATTTTTTTGTACACGATCTAAATTGTGATAAGATATGTGAGAAAGATAAGGAGTGTAATTTTAAAGCGCGTGGTTATGTTTAAAAATAAGAATAAAAACCAATCTCTTTTTATAAACGTGTAACACAACTTCTAAAGCAAATCTATTATCTACTGTGAACCATGTTTAGTATATAAATTGCCCATTCCTGTGTCAACTTCTGATAGTTTTTTTTTTTTTTTTTGATTTAGAGTTTAGTGGCATCACGTCTCAATTTACTCCTAAAAATAATTTTGAAGCCATGTAATGAGAAAAACTTAATAAATTTTTTCAAATGATTCCAAAATTCAACTTTTTTTTACTGGCATAATAAAGCTCAAGTTTTATTATTGTTGTCACCCATATTTTTCTAAAACTTTACGCGGTCCTTTTTTCCCAAAATGTCGCACCTCCATCAAATTTAAAATTTAAAAGGACCAAGATAGCAGCGCAACCACTCACCATTTTCATTTTCATCTAATACCTTGTTCAAAAGTTGATCAATCCATTGTCGAACATACCAAGTAGTGATTTTGAAAGGTTTCGTTCTCATCGGTGTTGGTTTGGTGATTTCAAGAATTGAAATTGTATTCTTATAACTGCGTTAATTGGAAAACTTAGGGATATTGGTTTTCAAGGAAAGATGAAAAGTGAAGGGAATTCGGGAGAATGACCACCATGAAAATAAGGAGAACAAAGATAAAAGATTGAAAAATTGAGAGAGATAAAAGAAAGAATTTTAATTGAGCAATTAATACATAAATAAAAAAAGGTTAGGATTTGTCAAGAAAAAAAATTACTTTTACTTGGAAGGGGTATTTTCTTTTTGTCTTTGCACACATATATATATATATATATATATATATATATATATTTGTTCCCTTACATGATCACAATTTGCCACCATTTTGTCGCCGGGAGTGGAATTGTCCGGAAGTCGATCGGTAATTCACTAATTATCCTTATAAAAATTATTGATTGCTAATTAAGGCTTTTGGACATAGTTCGGGGGTTTAATCATTTTTCAGAAAAGAGAAATGAAAAGCCGACCAGAATGTGTGAATATGAGGACTAAAGTTACAATTCTACATGTGTCTGGGTCAATTAAGTGAATATTCTTCACGGTTAGTAGAACTTGTATTAGTACTTCCGGTCGAGTTCACGTGTGATTGTGAAACTGCGCAACTGAACCTTCTTAAGCTTAGAACTTCTGGGATTGCACCGGTACCACTGAATCAGTAAATTGATCAAACTAAAAATGGCTCAGCTTCCTCAAATAGCCATTCTTGGAAGTGGGATCTTTGTTAAAACTCAATACATTCCAAGATTAGCCGAGATTTCTGATCTCTTTGTCCTCAAAGCTATTTGGAGCCGCTCCGAGGTTCAAAACTTTGATCCTTTAATTTCACTTGCAGTGTATGTTCTATTAATTCTGTAATGGATTTTCTTTTTAAGTACACGTTTGGGTAACGTAGCAATGTAATTAGCGTGTCTCCTTTTGATTTTGTGGATTCACCCTGTAGATAAACTCACGGGGTCATTTGATGAATGTGGATCTACTTTAATTAGTCCTTTGATCTGAGAACTTTTGAAGGTTTTCTGGTGAACTAATGTAGCTGACTTCTGAGAAATTGTTATTTGTTGGATTCTTTTGTTGCATTTTTTTTTGGGGAGAAAGCATTGAGAGTTTGAGTGTTTGTGTAGGAATCAGCTAGAAGTGCCGTTGAGGCAGCTAAAAAGTTTTTCCCGGAAGTGGAATGCAAATGGGGTGATGCCGGCCTTGATGAGATTATCAGAGACACTTCCATCATTTGGGTTGCCGTGGTTCTTGCCGGGCAGATTCAGGTGAACTTTACATTCGCACTCACTGTCCGTGGGTTTTGCCTTTCTCTATGTTATGTTAGATGTTAAATATTGATGGATGATGGTAATGGTACTTGCATTAATAAATGGAGAACATTTTATGGATAGAGTGAACTTTTGACTAGTGAAGTGTTGTCCAAAAAGAAAAAAAAAAAAAGACTAGTGATTCAGTGTTCTAATGCTTATAGCTTATACTGAAATTTGTCAACACAAATTTCTTCCTCATTTCCTACCAAAATCACATAAGAAATCAACAACTAGTTAGCATCTATCTTGGAATGTGGGGTTGGGGGAGATTATACCCTGTCATCGAGCTCATGACTCTAGTTTTTATGTGGATTGCCAATATGTGATCCATAGAGTGGACTTACCATAGTAGATAAAGGCTAATTGTTGTTCTTGTGCACTTTACTCGAGGAATAAGTGCACCTCCTTTAAACTTTTACTGAGCAAATAGTAATTTTTTTTTTTTTTCAATGACAATGTATTCATTTAATTGCATCATGCTAGTAAATGATTTGTTGTAATGTCTGGATTGGCATGTCTTTTCATACAGGTGGATATGTCATTGAGGCTGTTGAAAGCAGGAAAGCATGTCCTGCAAGGTAAATCAGGCTAAGTCACATTTGAGATCTAATTGTGTTTTTGTATGTATGTCTTTTTGCTCGGTTATCCTTTTACTTCTAGAAGGAACAACGGTTTGTTTCAGTTGCAGTGTCATTGAGATACTCATTTATTATTCTATGTAGTAAATTTATATCTATTTATTCAAATTCAAGTAACTGACATGGTTTTATGTTCTTGCATGTCACTGTCGCTTGGATTGAATTATATTATTGAAGAGAAACCAGCTGCTGCTTGTAAGTATAACATGTTTCACTTACTTATATCCTTTATTCTTCTGACTAGTTACAAACTTACAACAGTTCTGCTTAAACATGCAAGTTACCTTTTTGCTCTTTTATATACTCGCAGAATCTAAGTGCATGTTTTTAGTATAGTTCCTTACCTAGTTGATGGATAGATATCTAGCTGCTATCCTGCCGTCTCTTACAAGTGAGGGACCTTAGTTTTTTATGTTCTGTGGAAAAGTTGTATTTCATAAGCAACATTGTTGGCGGTTCATAAGTACTAATGGACTCTTCTCTTCTATTTTGAGTAAGCTTCTGCTGTCCAAAATAATTTTTCAGTATCTTACGCTTGCCATTTGAATAGTAACCTCATGGAAAAATTCTCCTGAGTTTTCAACAGTTGGCAGGGAACCCCTTGTAAAAAGAGTTGATCTTTTATCCTGTTCATCAAAGGTTCCTAGTCTTTCTTTAATGTTGATGAACTTTTGTTTTCTGTGATTATTTTTTTTTCTCCTTCCCCCAAATAGAGCTCATTTAAAAAGAAATGGACCTGTTTCGGGAACAGTGAAGAAAAAATGATCCGGGACAATCATTTGACTGAAATTTGCATCCACATTCTTCCACTAATTGATTCACCCATAAATTTGTTTTCTGTAAGCGATAAGGTAATTATGGTAGCGATGTTATGCTCAAATCTGTTATTAAAACCCCAAGTAGTGGATTAATAGATTGCTGAATATTTCTGTTTTCAATCTTTCTCCGTCCAACCTAAGATGAGTGCACATTGCTGTGATCAAAGAAGAAAGCCTTGCCATTTGCTTGCATTGTCTTTTATTTTATCTCGTATTTCAGGTCTGTTCTGCTGTTTTTCATGTTTGTTATTGGTACAAAGTTATTTTGTTTTAGAAGGAATTGTTACAAGAAAAATAATCCTTATCAAATTTCTATTTTGTAGGTGTTGGTGAGGCAGAAACAGGTCTCTCATCTTATCATGCTTTTGGTGCCGACTTGCCATTTCGACCAATTTGGGCAGTTGCTGAAAATTATCGATTTGAACCTGCATTTGTGGAGGTAATTCTTTTGAGACTCTTGACTTCATTCAATTGCTGTTCCTTAACAATAACAGGTAGTTGTTTGTCTTTTCTCAGGGCAGAAAACTAATGACTGAAGTTGGAGATATTATGAATATTCAAGTTATTGTTGAAGGATCAATGAATAGCTCGAATCCGTACTTCTCAAATGCTTGGAGGCGTAACTTGACTGTGAGTACGTTTCTAGTTTGATTGTCAGTACATACTCTTATTCATAAAATGGCATGAGGGACTTACTTTCATAACTCTTTGCCACTATCAAAACCTTTTTCACTTGAGATATTCTTCGTTAAGATAGTTCTTTATACCAAGCACATATTCCTGCATGATCAGTTATCTGAAACTTTTAATCAGGGCTTTGATCATTGCATGTAGAAACTGCTGAAATGAGTAAATTACTCTGTATATTATACATTCTGATTTTAGCTAATTCAGCTTTGCTGTTAAAGCTAATTCTGGAACTCCAATTCTTTGAATAGAATCTGCTTGAAGTATATGATCAACATTCCCAGTGTATTCCTAAAATGGAGTACCACAAGTTTCCTTTGAAATCGCTAACTTTAGATCTTTTCTTGATTTGATTTCTTTTCTACTCACTACTACCTCTCCATCTGGCAGGGGGGGTTTATTCTTGATATGGGGGTGCATTATATTGCCGGATTGAGAATGGTAAGTTAATCTGATGATAAAAAACAATGATTTTAATTGCTTTCGAAATAATGATTGAATCTCATTGCTACATTTTTCCTGAGCAGCTTGTTGGAAGTGAGGTAACTTCGGTGTCTGCCATTACTTCTCATGTAGATTCGACTTTACCTCCCCCTGATAACATCTCATCTACATTGTAAGTTTGTTTGCTTGATAATGGTTTTGCACTATTTGAGTATCTATCTGATTTTGATTTCCTTGTCTTTTCAGCCAACTGGAGAATGGTTGCTCTGGAGTTTTTGTGATGGTAGTATCATCAAGGACACCAAAAGTATGTTTTAAACAATTTCCAGAATTATTTCTCTCTCTCTCGGACTCTCACTCATGTTATGAGTTGTGCTTGTTCAGATACTTTGGCGAGTTGTGGGTTTGAAAGGAACTGTTCAAATTGAGCGAGGAAACAAGGATGGAAAGCACGGATACACGGTAAATGACTTCTACTTGAGACATTCTAGTATTGATTTTCATTTTAGCTCACATTTGGTTATTGCATGCTTAGTTACTCTGGCCGGGATATGATTTCAGTGGGATCCAACCTTATCAGTGACCAATCTCCTTTTCATTTCCTGATACCATAACAGGTTATTCATTATACGGCTGATGGGAAAAGCCAGAGCTTCTTCCACCCATTTTGTGGAGTTAATGAAGAACTGAAGACTTTTCTCTCTGATATTTCTCAGGCTAATCTTAAGGTAATTGAGGGCATACAGTGCAAACTGCTTCCATCTATCCCACTGTTTTAATTTAAACTTTGCTCTTTGTTTGATGGTAGCATATCATACCTATCACATACTTTGTCATGTATCTAAATGTAGCCTCTATCTGCATTTCAAAGCTGGATTATGATTTTTCTTCTTAGCCCCTGGATATACTGGCATAGTCTTTCTCTTGCTGTGTAATTGATTGTTCTGTTACGTGGGCATTTTAATTTGTTGCAGAAGGATGGTAGCCACGAAGTTGAGCATCGCTTGTCATACGCTGAAGGTGCGAGAGATGTTGCTATTTTGGATGCAATGCTTGAATCTGGAAAGAGGCAAGGTGCTCCTGTCCAAGTAAAGAGATTTTAGTCCATAGGCGCATGTAAAGGACATGATATTGATTTTTGCCTAATGACATGAAAGCTTAAGAAACATCTTTAGGTCATTAGTTGCCGGAGACTATAATCATTCAATTAAGAGAAATTGTTTCAAACAAAAAACTCTGTGTATCAAAATCATTGTCCCATTTGTTGTACTGGGATGGAGGGAGTAAATAAGAAGGAAAACGAATGACGAGTATAATGAATAATTCCCCATAGGGAAGGCAAAAGATATCATACGGACTGATGCAAGTGGAGAGAATGCAGGATATAGAGAAACTGAATTGGTCAAAAAGCAACATTAAATTCCTTATAGCTGTGGTTCCTTTTGTTTTTGTTTTTGTTTTTAAAATAATTTTACACTTGTTCCCTTCTTTCTTAGTCAAATTATGTCATTTTAGTGTTCCCAAAAAACAATAAAAAAAAAATTTATGTCATTTTAGTGTATTTTGCTTTACTGTTTCGGTATTAAAAAATGGTGAATTCTTTAGTTGCAATTGCAAGGATCTCATGATTGACGTGACTCAAAAAGATAAAACACAGAACGACAAGTTATTCTTTACAAAAAAAATAAAAAATAAAAAATCAATGTGTGGGACACTTCATATAGCTCAAACAGAATTCAACTGCTAACCCTCTCTTATTGTCAGCTGTACTTAGAACTCATAAAATTTTGGGCAAAACCAAACTTGAAATATCAGCAAATGACCAACGACGGAATCATGGAAGTTGGTCTGCTCTCAACCAATTAAAACCGACCCATTACTTTTGAGTTGATTATCAAAGTTTTTGAGTAATTATGAAACGGAGCTTTCATGGGTCCAAAATCAACATCTAGACTCAAAACCTATAGGTAACGTGCCGCATTAATCTCCATTTAAATTTGATGGTCATATAATTTGAGTCTTTTGGTTATGGGCTGGTGAGGAAAAAGTGCTTCAAACCCTCTGTCTCAGGATAGATTGTTTCAATCGGTTTGTTCATGTCATTTTCCAATACAGATGAGCAAAAAATTATGAGAAAGAATTGATGTTAGGTGTGGTTGGTCTGGAAAATGTATTATCCCAAATGTCATTTTCAGTGATCCATAGTGTAGTTTCAATTCATTCCACATCCAATTAATCCATCATCTTCTATCCATTTTTTTTTAGTTTCGGATTGTTTGTTAAGTTGAATCGTATGAGTATATGTAAACTGTAAGGTAATTTCAAAGGGCTATACAATATTTAAAGTAATTTGGACAAGATCCAAATAGAATTCATGTGTTTATTGCACATTCGAAAATGGAACTGAAAAATGACTTAAGAAAGAACAAATTTCTTACCATTTTTCCACCGATATTATATTGTGTGTAGGTCAATATGATTTCGGATAAAAAAATGTTATGGAGTTAGTACTTTTGGCAATGCTGGAATAGAAAAAAGAATGGAATGGATATTCTCTGAAAGAACAATCACCAAAATTAAGCTGAGGATCATGGAATCTCATGCTTACCTTACCAAGAAAGAAAAAACAGGGAAAAAAGATGAGGATTCATCCAATATTCGAATCCTTTTTATTTTTATGGTGAGAGAACAAGGCTTTAAAGTTTTTGGAAAAAAATGGATGAGGATCATCGAACCTTCTTTTTTATTTTATGGTCAGAGCAAGATTTTTTTCTTACATGTTTTTGCTTGTGGAGTAAATTAAATCTTTTTCATAATATTCTGGGCAATTTAAGCCTGATCTCGTACTTATAAATTTACAATTCATACCTAATTAACCAATTCGTTCTAGCTACCTATAACAAAAATACCTTTTTTTTTTTCCTTTTTTCTTTTATTACAATGGAGGAATCAGTAACTTTTTTTTTTTTTAAAAAAAAATCCACTCCAGTGAATTACACTTAAATGTGGTAAAACTCTCCTTAATTACAACCTCTGGTGAGAATCTATAATCAGGAAGGATAGCCACCTAATCACTAGGCTGTCATTCAATTTGCGAATCAGTCAGTAACCTTGTTAACAGAAGAAAGAAAGCCGCAAATGAATATCGCAACTTTTTTCTTTAAATCTGTTGTTGAACTATTGGATATGAACAGTGAATCTTGAACGGCAAGTGCTTTTATCTCAAGAAAAAAAAAAAAAATGGACAACAAAACCTTGTTTAAACAAGCATAATCCACCACCTCGCTTTGAACTGAATTCCGTTCATGGATCTCTATCTCAAACTTTAAGTTTATAGTTTTGTGAAACAAAAAAAAGTGACAAAAGTCAAATACAAATCAAACGCGATGGAAGATTAACGTCAAAATTATAGCATCAGGACCAATTGAATGAAATCCAATACAATGGTAATTCAAAACCATATCTTGTCAGTCATGAATAAGTTTGTTCAGCCTCTTGGATCTGGTTTAAATTTATTTTAGTTAGCGATTTATTGGCCGACTTATATTAAATTAGCTTTGCAATATAATTGAGCCAAAATTGTATTTGAGAGTGAAAACCGATTCGGCTCAAACTAATTTCAAACGATTGTCTGATATTCTCGAAATACGGAGTCTAGTCGTTAGAATTCTCAAAGGATGTCAACACCTTCGATTTACAATAATCTTGAATATTTAAGTACTTGATGACGAAATAATAAGACGCTTCAATAAAATGAATAAAACGGTCAATAAAGACCAACTTTATTAATTTGATGGAAACGAATCGGCTATGAATAGCTAGAGACGTCGGAAGATTTACAATAATCAACGCTGAATGATAAAGGAATGCATGAAAGCTTAAAGAAAATATATATCGAAAAGTTATAAAGAAAGACTAGAAAATATGATTTTTTGTATGATGAATCGTGTGTCTTCCTTGTCTCTTTTTTACAGCTTTTATAGATGGTCGGCCAACCTTAGTCGAAATGCAATAGAAGTCAAATGCGATAAGGACTTGTGCCACGGTTGGAATCCTTTTCCGACAAGAACTGCAACGTGATGATTTCTTCTCCGATTCAAACTGCCGACCGCCGCTTCTTCTCCGATTTTTTTGCGGGCTTGATAATTCCTTTGCTCCTTTTATTGTTGCTGCGATCTGCCCAACTTGTATGGACCAGATTTGCTAAAAATCGGTCCAACAATGATTTTAGTTTTAAAGTTAGAAACAATCAGCGTTATTAATTTAGCTTCAATTTTGTTTTAGAAATTGCTTTGGCCGACTTTGTTTCTTAAAAATAGGGCCAGGGTAACCTTATTATCATAAATAATGGGAGTAGAATAATTTGATTCTGTACGTGGAATTGTATCTTTTTTTTTTTGTTCTTCCTTAACCCGTTATTATATGTTTTGATCCTTCAATATTGTTGGGTTAAAGTGTAATACAAATTTTTGTAAGTCAAGTATATATCTTCTGGAACAAACCTCATTATTTTCTTGAGCCAAGTGATTTGTGACCAAGAATTAATCCATTCTACATTTCCACAATCATCTTCATGTTATTCGGAAATTATAAAATCTTCTGTTTGTATATTTTAATCGTATTTCGCTTATTGGGATTTGTTTTTTAGTCAAATATCGTAGCGACATGGAAATTTTGCATTATTTTCACATTAATACTTGGTCTGACATGTTATCGGAAAAAAAAACTCGGTCTGACTAATTTCATTTCACTAGATAAGATTTCCAGACCACTTACAATATGCTAGGTGTCGAACAACTTATTAATTGATCAAAGTAAACGTAATTACAATTTTATTTTATTTTTTTTAACGTTAGATTGTATTCTAACCGTCGCAAAAAATAGTCTCCTTTATTGTGGAATTTTAATTTGACAAAAGAAATAACCTTTTTTGAGACGAAACTATGAATGATACTAATTAACTAAAATTTTAATTTTTCGCTACATTTATCACTGCTTTTAAACCCAATATTGTTGATTAATAAATTACACACAAAAGTTTCCGTAAGTAAAAATAATTCCAAGAAACAATGTTGTTTATTGAACTAAAATAGTATATTATACTTCATATTTTGAGAGCAAAGAGTATGAAAATGTGATTTATAGACTTTGAAATTTTTATTATTATCTCCTAGGATGATGAATTAATAACTTACAAAACGTCTTGTCCAGGTGACGTTCATATGTAACTGCATTTGATCGAACCTTACCAAACTTATTATTATTATTTTGAGGTGACCACTTTCTTCATTCCATGATAATTAACTTAGTCTGAATGATGCCAATTTGAATAATTTTTTTAACAAGTTGGTCAGATTTTCTAAAGAACAGTAGAATTCGATGACGAACCTAACTAATCTTTAAAAAATAAACATAGAATAATTCTTTCAAGAAAAATTGAGTCTGGTATTTCATTGTATATTGGAAAAGTCAATCTAATGATACTCATCGGGATGTGAAGGGTTCGATGAAATGGTAAAAATAAGAATTGTGATTACCAATATTCATATTTTGTTTTTTTTTTTGGTTGCGACTAGAAAATGATGGATATAAAATTTTGTTATAAGATATACCAAAATCAGGTTATAGTTGCTTTTCTCTTGTTCCTTTAAAAAATTCATATTTTGATATGTTATTTTAGTTTTAGTTTAACAAATACGATTCTTTTTTCTAGAACAGAGAGATAGAATAATATATTATAAGGACCAGTATATATTATCAATTTTTCCTTGCTAATTCTTATCTCTTACTAAGCCATGGATTTGGGCCTTTTTCCTTGCTAATTCTTATTTCTTACTAACAACCACGAGTTGCGTGTGAAGTTAAACTTCTGATTTCTACAGGTGCATGAAAGAAACTAAATAAGGGCAAAGTTTTAAAACTTCAGTAAGAAATTTCATTGAATTATTGTTTTGCTTCTGCCATGTAATTCCTAAATCAATGACTTGCATCATGTAGCAAAAGAGCTCAACAATAGCTAGCAAAATTGACAAAGTCACCTTGGCTCCATCTTAAAACCAATTGGCAATGAGTGGGGTGGCCTTTGACACTTATAAACAGGTGACAGATCTTTCACGACACTGATGTAGGATTCTTTTTATCCCAACACCTTCCCTCAAGCCTAATGGGATATTTGGCCCATTGGGGTTGCACAACACAACATAATTCACCAGATATACTGCTTGGTCAGTTAACAAGCCCGTACACACGGGTATATACTCCGAATATACTGTCGGATCAGTAACAAGCCCACCCGTGTGCACGGAAGTGATTGACGCAAGTCCAAGGCACACGGATCCAAGCCCGCACACGCGGATCCATAGTTATCACAGGTCCACAGATCATGGGTTCTGATACCATGTCAAAGTCACCTTGGGCTCCCATCTCAAAACCAATTGGCAATGAGTGAGGTGATCTTTGGCACTTATAAACAGGTGACAGATCCTTCACGACACCGATGGGGGATTCTTTTTATCCCAACAAAAATGTTAGGTGAATATCTTTTATCCACTCAAAGAAAAAAAAGGTGTTGAATATCTTTTAGGAGATTCATTTTTGATCATCATCAGCATTTTTAACTGGAAAATGAAATCTTTACTGTTGTCATAAATATTCCATCTTTTTCTGTCACCATTTCCCACCAGAAGAGAAGATTGGAATAAGTCTTCTTCTTCAATTGGTTGTTTTCTTTTTTTCAGTACCAGTTGTTCTTTAAGTTGGCTGTGGCAGCTGCTCAGAAACAACTACTTCTGATTTTATCCACCCTCAAAACAATCTTCAAAGTTAGTCTCTTACCTGCTCAGTAGTACTACTACCTGTTCTCTTTTACTGCAGAAAAGGGCTCTGCTCAAAATCTTATCATGGAAGGTGAAAATTTAAAGCTCTGCATGATTCTTTTGTTACTTTCAAGTCATTAATTGCTTTGTCTTTTTTGAGTCTGTATTCTCATTTTCTCAATCATTGGGTCTGTAACACATGTAGAGTCTATTAGAATACATATGGTAAGAACTGTCTGAACTCTGAACTGATCCATTTTCAGAAGTCTTGTTTTTTTTTCTTCTGTCTTTTTGCTTATAAAAAATAGTCGAAAATCCGAATCCATTCATCACTAGAACATTATCCAGTGCTCCTTGTAAGATGGTATGCATAGATTTTGTATGTGACAATATAGATTGTAGTCCTTGAAGTAATTCATGAGGAACCGTTTCTCCTTTACGTTTCTGATCTTACTGTTTTCTACTCCATTATGTATGACTTAACTGATCCAAGTGGCCTACCTGCTCAGATAAAGTTTTGGTATTGTAATACAGTTTTTCTTCTTGAATTTTAATGTTTAGTTGTTCTGCAGGGCAAGTAAAAGAGTAATCAATATCATGTTCGAGATGATGCAGATATAGCTTGATTGTTTATGCAAGGGATTGAAAATCCACATTAAGGAGAAAACTATTCAGCATTTTATAGCATTTGCCAGGACAAAGCAAAATCATGGCTGAAGATTTTGCACTCAAGGAGACAGCTCCAAAAATTGCTGGATCAGGAGCTATTATTGATGGAGATAAGCTCACTTGCACCTATGATCTCGTCGAGCAAATGCACTACATATACGTGCGGGTAGTCAAAGCAAAAGACCTTCCACCAAAGGATGTTACAGGCAGCTGCGATCCGTATGTTGAAGTGAAAGTTGGAAACTACAAAGGAGTTACTAGGCATTTCGAGAAGAAACTCAATCCAGAATGGAATCATGTCTTTGCTTTCTCGCAGGACAAACTTCAGGCATCATCCATTGAAGTGGTGGTGAAAGATAAAGATGTTGTCAAAGATGATTTCATCGGCAAAATTGTCTTTGATCTTGTCGAGATCCCTAGACGGGTTCCACCAGATAGTCCATTGGCACCACAATGGTACAGATTGGAAGACAAAAAGGGTGACAAGCTCAAACATGGAGAAATCATGCTTGCTCTTTGGAAAGGAACTCAGGCAGACGAGTGTTTTCCTGATGCTTGGCATTCTGATGCAGCAGCAGTCGGAAGTGATGGCATCACCAAAATCAGAGGCAAAGTTTACATGTCCCCTAAACTTTGGTATCTCAGAGTCAATGTTATTGAATGTCAGGATCTGGTTCCAAGTGATAAGAATAGGGTACCTGAAGTTTGCGCCAAGGTTGTCCACGGGAATCAGGCGTTGAGAACTAAAATAGTGAAGGGCGTAAATCCATTGTGGAATGAGGATCTGATTTTTGTAGCTGCTGAAAGATTTGAGGAGCAGTTGATAATAACAGTGGATGACAAGGACGAAAATCTTGGGAAATGTATGATTATGCTCAACTCTGTACCCCGGAGACTTGACAATAAGCCTGTGCCATCCAAATGGCATAACCTAGAGAAGCATATAATTGTAGAAGGTCAAAAGAGGGAGGTTAAGTTTGCTAGCAAGATTCATTTGAGGATCAGCTTGGATGGTGGTTATCATGTGTTTGATGAGTCCACACACTACAGCAGCGATCTCAGGCCGACTTCAAGGCAGCTGTGGAAGTCCAGCATTGGCCTTCTTGAGTTGGGAATCATAAGTGCCACAGGGTTGTCATCAATGAAGAAGAATAAAGACGGGAAAGGCTGTACTGACGCGTATTGTGTTGCCAAATATGGACCTAAGTGGGTACGGACAAGGACAATCCTCGATAGCAACTCGCCTAAATGGAATGAGCAGTACACGTGGGAGGTGTATGATCCTTGTACTGTGATCACAGTAGGAGTGTTTGACAATGGTCATCTTTCGGGTGGAAGTGATTCCAGAATTGGAAAGGTAAGGATCAGGCTATCTACTCTTGAAACAGAACGGGTTTACACGCATTCGTATCCCCTAATTGTCTTGCAACCTTCAGGAGTGAAAAAGATGGGAGAAGTTCAGTTAGCTGTGAGGTTCTCATGTTCCTCTTATTTTAACATGCTGTACAAGTATACTCATCCAATTCTGCCAAAGATGCACTATGTTCATCCTTTGTCGGTGAATCAGATCGATGTCTTAAGGTTTCACGCTATTCAGATCAATGTGGTAAGACTAGGCCGAGCAGAGCCGCCTCTGAAGAAAGAAGTTGTGGAGTATATGCTAGATGTTGGTTCACATATATGGAGTGTGAGGAAAGCAAAAGCCAATTTTTTCAGAATAATGAATGTTCTGAGTGGTTTCATAGCAATTGCAAAATGGTTTAATCAAGTATGCCATTGGAAAAATCCAATCACAACCATTCTGATTCACATTCTGTTCGTGATTCTAGTTCTGTATCCTGAACTGATCCTCCCAACTTTCTTCCTCTATCTCTTCTTCATTGGCGCTTGGCGGTACCGATGGAAACCAAGGCACCCTCCACACATGGACATTAGGCTTTCTCATGCTGATGCAGTTGGCCCTGATGAACTTGATGAAGAGTTCGATCCATTCCCAACAACAAAGCCGCCAGATAAGGTGCGAATGAGGTATGATCGGCTGAGAAGCATTGGAGGACGGATCCAGACTGTGATCGGCGATTTAGCAACTCAAGGGGAAAGATTTTACTCCCTTCTGAGCTGGAGGGATCCAAGAGCATCAGCATTGTTCTTGACATTCTGCCTGATAATTGCATTTGTGCTCTACATTACACCATTCCAGATAGTGATACTTCTTGGTGGATTTTATGTGTTAAGACATCCAAAATTTCGAGAGAAACTTCCCGCAATGTCTTCCAACTTCTTCAGAAGGTTGCCAGCAAAATCAGACCTGTTGCTCTAAGCAATCTCTGTAATATTGCATAGGGATTTATATTATTGATTGTTGTATTGGTCATCCAAGAATCATGAATCCAAAATGTCACCTATCTTTTTAGTGTCTTCATGTAAGAAGATCCTGATTAAGATTTGTAATATTGATTAATAATTGGGAGATTTTGCTTCTTCAAAAGGGACTTTTCAGCTCAAATCTCTATATTAATCGAGACAATGCCTTCAAACACCGAATTAGTTTATTCACTTAGTAAATTATGTTTTTGAGTCTTGTCTTTTGTGTTTCTAATTCACAATCTCTACGCATCCATGGAAGTTGACATAAATGAGTCTTGTTGAAAAAAATGATAGTGCGATTTTCATACTACCGAGCAACATACGGAAATGCCAATCAAGAAATTGTTATCTGCTTGGAGATGTACTCTAAGAAAAAGAAGGGTCTAGATGAAATTAGTTACTGTTGGTGGTCTTGGGCTTTCTCTAATTACAAGAAGCCAGCTTGATACTTGAAAACTACTTTTTACCACGGTCATTGACAACAAGAGAGTCTTAACTCATTCAAAGGGTTTGGTTGGGGGTGGGGAGGGGGTGTGAATCTGCTTGCTATGGAAAATAAATTGATCTTTCTTTTATACTAAAATGATCAGTATAAGATGAAGAACAATCATTTTAATTTGAGAATGTAAATCTAAAAGTGAATTTGCACGAGCTTTGTCGACTTAGTTTCATCCTCATTGTGCTCCAAATATGATTGGCAATTATTTCGAAAAGGTATAAACAGTAGAAAACTATGAACAACTGGCAAGCTAAAACTAGGACAAGCTGCTACGATTCCTAAGGCAACAGGATTAAGATCATGACATCTAATCTGTTTCTTTCTGTATGAACTCAATATATGTTTCCAAAAATGGGAACCCAAGTTATTTTGTACCAAAATGAAACTTGTCTCCTATTTTAGTAACTCTTTTATTTTGGAGAGTAGAAGTAGCTAGCTATACCAAAAGATAAAATACGAAACTTTCAAGGCATTAGATAAGTTGTAAACACAATATAGTGGATCTTTAGAGAGAAACAAATTCATGAATATGTATGGCTAATATGGCTATCCGTCCCATAATTTTTGTTATTTTCAGTTCAAATTCTATTAAAGTGAAATCTCAAATTGGATAATAATTTTGAGATCGAGAGAGTATTTTAATACAAAAAAAGATTATGTTCGTTGCAAGCATTAATATAGTTTTTTTTTTTTTTTAATGTTTTAAGGTGAAAAGAGGAAATTTACTTATTAAATTGTCTGGCCAACATCGGGCGGTGAATGATTCAAATAGTATGGGAAGGTAGGCCATTTGGTAAAGAGTACCGGATTTACTTAATGGATCATTTTAATTTCGTAATGAAACTAAAAGAATTATCAAAAGCGACTCTTAGAAGTTCAGCACAGTATGAAAATCGCATGGGAGTGTGACATTGACTAATCGTCTGCGGCTGGATTGTTGTATCTTAGTTTACTAATCCATAATCCCTTAACTTCGAGTGAACTAGCTGGAACATATTTTATTAATTTCCCATTTGGTTATTGTATATGACGTCTTTTTAATTTTTTTTTTAATTTCACATTAATACATAATCCACCTAATCCCATACTAGACGATTTCCGATTAAGGACTTCTCATAGATCCACAAATCGTCGTACCACCATATTCCTTATTGTATAGGATGATTGTCTTTGTTTCTGATTAAATTTTGGATTGCCAATCTAAAACAGAAATAGGCAATGGTATTTCTGTAAGTTTGAAACGCGCTGCTTCTACTTTTTTTTTTATATTAATATAATTGAAAATACCCGTCAAATAACGTCTTAATTATTACAAGCTCCGTCCCAAAAAATAGTCTACATTGAGTTTACATTACAAATTTATAAACTTAATGTGGATTATTTTTTCTAGAACGGAGGGACTATATAAAATAAGACTGGTTGAGAACTAAGTAAACAAATCATTCTATATACTAAAAAAGAACCTCTTAGAAAAATTTATTATATCCTTTTCCCGCCCATTTTACCTACTCCAGCTGATGTTCTGGTAATTTAGAATTAATTTTATTTTTCAATTTTACCTCCTTAGTATGGATGACTGATGTGCTAAAATTTTTCCTTTTTTCTTAGTTTTTTTAAAATTATTTTCCTTAGTTTAATACCGCTTGCAACATTGTTCTTTGTGTTATTGCATCAATTTCCATGCTTTGTAATAAACAAATGCGTGTTTAGATAATTTTTTTTATAACATACATGTTTCTTTTTGATTTTTTCCCTTTCTCTTCCAATCCTAACTCCTTTCTGCATTTTTTCCCCTCTTCTCTATCATATAACAATAAGTGTTAACAAATAATTTGTGTTAATTAGTAATAGTAAATAACAAATACTGGATGTATTTATAAATACTCATAAACATTGTTCATTAAGTAAAAACTATTTATTTTTATAGTTTTTTTCATTTAAATTTACTCTTATCAATAAATCCGATGATACACACGAAAAATTAATGGGAAGCCCGTAATCACACGGGATCTATCTAGTAATGAATATAACCAGAGCCACGGAATTCAACATCTAAAAAGCAGTTGATTTGGACTTCGGAGCTAACAAACGATCAAACATTTGTTAATCGCAGCGTATCCAACAAAGATATTCTAAAGATCCTTGCAATTTAACTTTGATTTTACCAAATGCAAATGAAGAAGTTGAAGAAATCAGGGATCCCTTAAAAAAAAAAAAAACAAAGATGATTTTTTTTTTTAATTACGCGCACGCGGTGTGTCGATTATTGGTTGGGACTTGGGAGTTATCTCCCATGGAAGCAAACAAGGTGGTATAGAATCTATATGTACTTTATTCTCCTGTTACTAATTAATTATCAAACAGTGGCATACATATCAATTAGTTTATTTTCAACTTTCATAAATTAAATACTCGAAATCGTTTGAATATTCCCGTTTATATTCTTTTAATTGTCCCACAGAATTGTACTAGTTTATACTAGTCGTATTGTAATGCTTTTTCATTTTTATATAGATTTTAACAAAAACACAAACCTTAATGGACAATTTTAAGGGATATGCTCTGCTTCGACGTCGTTAGTTGTATAGGAGTAATAATCGTAATTCAAATGTCAGACCTCTCTGTGTAAATTTCATGAGATGAATCTACTATATAATGAATCATAATTTTTTGGGTCACGTTCGCGTCTCATACGAAATAAACATTTCCATAACTTGTCCTCCGGTCCTTATTATAAAACATTTTGATTCGTCTTAAATTTCACCTTTTATGTTTTTCCAATTAAAAAAAACTTAAAAATATTTTTTAATTATTGGATGAACACAATGAATGCGTAAATATAGTTTAAAATTTTTTTTTCCAATAGAAAAAAGATACCAGCTAAAACTTAGGATAAACAAAAATACCTTATAATTTTTTTTTGTTAAAAAAATACCTTATAATAAAGAAAGGAGAGAGTAACAAATTGTCACAAAATGATGATAAAGTGACGCTTTCATTCGGATAGATAAAAACTAAAACAGAATGGCGGGTTATTAATTAGTACTCCCTCCGGTCCTTTTTATAAGGCATTTTGAGTTTGTCTTATGTTTCACCTAGTAAGTCTTTTTAATTGAAATAAAAATCTTAAAAATATTTTTTAATAATTAGAAGAATACAACGAATGTGAAAATATATTTTTAAGATTTTTTTTAAATAAAAAGACATCCTAAATTAAACCTAGGACGAATTAAAATGCTTTATAATAAGGATCGGAGGGAGTAGAAGAATATGGATGATACCTTGAAGAAACTGGGAATATGTCTTAATTCCCCGAAAGTGAAATGATGAATAATTTTTTTGTGAGCGGATTTACCAAAGATCAAAAGTACTCATTTGAGATTTTGTCTTTTACTAATTGTTCACATTTAAGCATTTGGGGTCTTTATATTCGACCCTGAAGTCATCAAACCATATGTCGTGGAAGTGTGCCATATTAGCTTCAAACTCAATTCCTCCTCTTGCCATTTGGCAAAGAAAAAGGAAAGAAAAAAGGAAGTGTTAAAGAGTTCAGATTTGATTGCTTCCATAAGTTCACTTTTTGGCTTATATCATCTTCCATCAGGTCAGTTTGATGATTGAATATTTTGTTCATTTTTTTTCGTCTTCTAAGCATTTGTTTACTACTACTTGGTAATAATGTAGTACAATCTATGGTCATATACTATCTGCAGAAATTGATTGTTTATAAAAGGAAGATCTTTGGGATATAATTTTTAATGTTTCAAGTCTATTTCATGACACAAAATGGAAGAGATTCATGCATGTAAACTACAAACACCCCACAAAGAATAAAGAAAAAAGAGCCAAATGATCTTCTCTTTACTTGGAACTAGCATTAGGCTTTTGCTGATGAATGCAGTGAAGAAAACACATGTTCCTAGTGAATGAATATATATCAGGAGACAGAATATTCTTGACCTATCCTTTTCGGCTTCAGTCATCTTTGTCGATTCGTCAGAATCATGATTTCATGGAAGCTGGATTTAGAACAAATCAAACAATTACAATGTTGGAGCAATAAAATGAGCTGAGAATCAACCAGAGATGAAGCTCATTTTGTAATCATTAATGGGATTCTTAAGAGCTTAGTTGAAAAGCTATCGAGGCAAATGGCCACTAATGCTTTGATCTGTGAGTTTTGATCATGTTAATAGTGTTTTGGTTTCAAGTTGTTCTTCAGCATGCTAAAAGTTAGTGTTATAAAACGAACCTGGAAATGTTGTTATGTTTCAATTATGGATTCTGTCTTCTTGTCTCAAATAAATAAGCAGTACAGAAAGGTTGATGATAACTTTTCCTTTCTTCCCCTTTGATGGCTACAGGCACCATCGACTCGATGGCAGGAAATATAGACCTGAAAAACTCCATAGATGATGCCTTCTCAAAGCTGCATCCCAGCTTTCCTCTGGATACAAGTATTGCCATAGTTGGAGGAGGTCCAAGCGGATTGTCTGCCGCCTATGCATTATCCAGGCTAGGATACCATAACATAACTGTGCTGGAAAAATATCATACAGTCAGTGGCATGTGCGAGTCGGTTGATATTGAAGGTACAGAAAAGAAATAGTTTGCTCATCTTTCACCAACAATTGCATAGACTTTATCAACCAATAACATTTTTTTTTGTAGGCAAAGTATATGATCTTGGTGGACAAGTTCTAGCAGCGAATAGTGCTCCGGTTATTTTCAATTTGGCTAAAGAAACAGGATGTGAGCTAGAAGACATGGCATCACACAAGCTTGCTCTAATAGATAGCAGCACTGGAAAGTATCAAGACATAAAAGTTGCAGATGATTATGTATCAATGATATCACTCACCTTAGAAATTCAGGTTAGTTTATTGTTCTAACCTGGAACCTCTGGCTAAGTTTTCAGCTTCAGAAATTACTTAAATTCGTCAATTCTTTATGTAGGATAAAGCAGGTGCTTCTGGTAGAATTGGAGTTCATGGTGTCAGCGATATAGCTTCAGACTTGACTCCAGTATTCCTAGAGAACCATGGACTCAAATCTGTCCCAAAATCAGTGGCCTATGGTTATACTGCTTCAGGATATGGATTTGTTCGAGACATGCCTTATGCTTATGTTCATGAATTCACCCGCACTTCAATGGCTGGTAAAATCAGGCGTATAAAAGGCGGTTACATGAGTTTATGGGAAAAAGTCAGTAAATCCTTACCAGCACAAGTACTCTGCAATACTGAAGTATTAGCAGTACGGCGAAATTCTATAGGCATAGAAGTAGATGTTAGGAACTGTAATGGAGAACCTGAAACCATGGAATTCGACAAGATCATTTTCTCTGGAGCTTTTCCATTTACCAGTGGGAGAGTATACAGATCAACATCTTCATCTCTAGTAGGTATGTCCAAATTGTACATTTCAATCATAGCCTACTCGAATCTTTACTTTGAGAGATGATGATAAAAGTTCTTTCTTCTTGCAGATGCTGAAAACAAAATAATGGACTTCAGTGAGAAAGAGAATGAGCTCTTTGGTAAAGTACAAACTATTGACTACTACACTACAGTTTTGAAGATTAAAGGGTTTGAACATATGCCGATGGGGTTTTACTACTTCGGGGAATTTATGGATGATCCAGCAACCATAGGAAATCCTGTAGCAATGCAGAGGTTTTATGGTGACACAGATATTTTTCTCTTCTGGTCATATGGGAACTCAGATACAATCAAGGGAGCAACAGTTACACAGCTAGCAACTGATGCAGTTACAAGAATGGGAGGACAAGTTCTAAAAGTAGTATTACAGCGACGATTCAAGTACTTTCCTCATGTCAAAAGTGAAGGTAACACATTGAACTTATACTCTCCCAACTTATTAATGATTGAAGATTCTAATTATATAACTCGCGAACAGAAATGAAGGAAGGATTCTATGACAGATTAGAGAATGAAATTCAAGGTCAGCAGAATACCTATTATGTAGGCGGGCTCATGGCATTTGAACTCACAGAGAGGAATTCATCATACGCTATGGCTTTGGTTCGCAAGCGCTTTGCACATTCTGATCCTCTTCCTAGCTTTCCATACGTCAAGGTACTTTGTAATGTGACCTGCTTTCTTTAAGCGTCAAAATCCCAAGAATGACATTGCATTTGATACTCGCCATTTTCATGCAGAGATTATTCCCTATGTCCTCGAACTTTCAAAATAAGAAACCTCTGGCACTGGATGAAGTTCCAGGAGTGAAATTCCCTGATTTACCAAACCTTGATGCCTATTTAAAGTTCTGGGGAACACATCACATCACCATGAATAAAACTCTTTATACTTGGATTAATGAAGAAGGGGAGATAGTAGGCAGAAGGACATTTGGAGAACTTCATGCTAATGCTTCTTCCATCGCCCAGATGCTCTTGACTAGCCAAAAACCACTTATTAATCCAGGTGATAGGGTTTTGTTGGTTCATGTCCCGGGTCTTGATTTTATAGATGCCTTCTTTGGATGCTTAAGAGCCAGAGTACTGCCAGTTCCAGCTCTTCCACCAGATCCACTTCAAAGAGGTGGTCAAGCCCTTCTGAAAATCGAAAACATAGCAAAGGCATGTAATGCAAAGGCCATTCTGTCAACCATAAGCTACCATGGAGCAGTTCGAGCTGGCTCAGTAAAAAACTTGATTTCACTGTCCTCTAAGAGCCATAGGAATTCAGCTCGTTGGCCTAATCTTCCATGGATGCATACAGATTCCTGGATTCGGAACTCTAAAGGAAAGACTCATAACAACATCTCTGTATCTGATCCAAACTCGGAGGAACTGTGTTTTCTTCAATTCACCTCAGGATCAACAGGTGACGCTAAAGGAGTAATGATAACTCATGGTGGGCTAATACATAATGTGAAGTTAATGAGGAAAAGATACAAAAGCACATCAAACACAGTGTTGGTGAGCTGGCTTCCTCAGTACCATGACATGGGATTAATTGGGGGTCTTTTCACCTCTTTGGTCAGTGGTGGATCTGCAATATTGTTTTCCCCTATAACCTTTATCAAGAATCCCCTCCTGTGGCTCGAAACCATGAGCAAGTACAGCGCAACCCATAGTGCTGGCCCTAACTTCGCGTTCGAACTTGTGAATAGACGGTTGGAGGTTTGTAAGGATAGAGAAAGCAAGTATGATCTTTCTTCTATGAAATTTTTGATGGTTGCTGCTGAACCAGTAAGGGAAAAAACAATAAAAAAGTTTCTTGAGCTTACAGGTCCTTTAGGGCTCTCCCAACAGGTGATGGCTCCTGGTTATGGATTGGCAGAAAACTGTGTGTTTGTAAGCTGTGCTTATGGAGAAGAGAAACCCATAGTGGTGGACTGGCAAGGGCGGGTCTGTTGTGGATACGTGACAAACAATAATGAAGATGTCGACATCAGGATAGTTGATCCGGAAAAAGGACAAGAGATACAGTCACCGGGAAATGAAGGAGAAATTTGGATTAGTAGTCCAAGTGCTGGAGTTGGCTACTGGGGCAATGACGAGCTCAGTGAAAGAACATTTAGGAATAAACTTGACAATCATCCTGGGAAGTTCTACACAAGAACTGGAGACCTGGGGAGGAGAGTTGATGGGAACTTGTTCATCACGGGAAGAATCAAGGATCTTGTTATAGTTGCCGGGAGAAATATCTATTTGGCTGATGTAGAAAAGACTGTGGAGAGCTCATCTGAACTACTACGTCCTGGTTGCTGTGCTGTCATTGGGGTTCCAGACGAAATCCTATCAGCGAAAGGAATACCGACATCAAATAACTCAGATCAGCTCGGGTTGGTTGTGATTGCAGAGGTGAAGGATGGAAAGCCTGTCAGTAAAGATGTCGTTGAGGAAATTCAGGCCAAGATAGCCGAAGAACATGGTGTTAGTGTGGCAGCAGTCAAGCTGATCAAACCCCGTACCATCAGCAAAACAACATCCGGGAAAATTAAGAGATTTGAGTGCCTGAAACAGTTCAGTGATGAAACATTGAATCTGGTTCTCGATCCAGTAAAAACAAAACGAGCTTTGGTCCGGTCTTTCACTACTGGCACATGTAGGGCAGGGAACACACCTAGACCGCACTTGGCAGCAGCTCCACCCTCATCAACATCACCTTCCCCAGGTCCTAGATTGACTAACAAAGAAATTGTAGAATTCCTGACAGCCCTTGTCTCGGAGTTAACAGGTGTTCCCGTCAGTAAGATATCCTCAACTGAGAGCCTGGTAACTTACGGGATTGATTCCATAGGTGTTGTGAGAGCAGCTCAAAAGCTGTCAGATTTTCTGGGGGTGCCTGTTGGAGCTGTCGACATTTTCACCGCAACTTGTATCGAGGATTTGGCCAATTTCTCAGAGGATCATCTGATGAAGTCACAACCTCAATTACTGAGAAACCATTCTCATCTTCAGGAGCCTGAGACTGAAAGCTTTGAGCTGGTGACTGAAGTTTCCACTTTTCACCAACTGGGTACCATGTTCTTACAACTCCTTGCTCTTGCTTATGTCTCAATTCTGCTCACCACTCCTGCATATTTCTCAATTCACCTGTTTAAGAATATGGTAATCAGTGCGGCCTTGAGTAATGCGGCTCAATGGTCAAGTTATGTGATCTCTCTTGCATTTGCACCTCTCTGTTGGATCCTTTGCATCTTTGCAACAAGCATCTCCATTTCTGTTTTTGGGAGTGCTTTTCTGCAACCAAATTATGCCCTCAAACCTGAAGTCTCCATCTGGTCATTGGATTTTGTAAAGTGGTGGGCGCTTTACAAGGCGCAAGAACTTTCATCAAAGGTTATGGCTGTTCATCTGAGAGGGACAATATTCCTGAATTACTGGTTTCAAATGATGGGCGCACAGATAGGATCATCAGTCATGCTGGATACTGTTGATATTACTGACCCCGCTCTGGTCTCAATTGGAGATGAAACTGTACTTGCTGAAGGTGCTTTAATACAAAGCCACGCGGTACGGAATGGCATCTTGAGTTTCCTTCCAATCCGAATTGGAAAGAGTTCGTCCGTTGGACCGTATGCTGTAATACAAAAAGGAAGTGTATTGGGAGCAAGGAGTAAGGTTCCAGCCTTACAGAAGACTGAAGCAGGAAAGCCTATTCCCAGATCAGGCCAATCTACCAACTCATCTGAGGTAAAGTTTGAGTTAACTGTTTCTTTTACTGCAATCATGCTGGAATTCTATTTCAATTTTTCCATAAACTTGATTAAATGTTTCTTGTACCGCAATCATGCTGGAATACCATTTCAAATTTCTCCTAAAATTGACAACTTTGAGGAATAGCAGGTTCACATATTATAGCTAGGTTCAGCTAGAGGATTTTCAAATCATATTTTGAGATTCTTAGCTCAATCATAATCTTAGGTGGAGCCTGGTAGAGATTAGTAAGAATCTGAAATGGAAGTACTTGGTTATTCACTCCCAAAATGATGCTTGCAAAAGGCCAATTGGACAAAAATAAAGTAGAAAATGGCCAATTTTCTCTAACTACCCCCTACCGTCGGGAATTCCTAGTCAAGTTTTAACTTCATGGCCGAAAAACCCCATTTTCCCTGTTCTTCACTGTTGATAAAAGGATTTCCAGCATCAATAGCATATAGGAGAATGTAGAGTATATCACATGTCTAACAACAAAATTTTAAAACAATGATAGCAGCATGATAATAAGACATAAAATGTTGTTAATACTATCCCCATGCAAAGTATTTTATAAACGACAGGTACTGCACTATTTTCAACAAAATAATCAAACAATGTAATGAGAGTACTGTTTACTAGAATTTTCCTCCTCTAATGTAATGAGTACTGTTTACTAGAATTTCCCCCCTCTAGTTTCAACAAAATAATCAAACAATGTAATCAAACAGGGTTACATGTTTTCATGAAATCCTGATGTAATACATTGGGGAGCAATTAGGCATCCCGCATCCAATGCAAATGTGCATCACATGTCTATTGCTTTCTCTTCATTTCTCAGAGCCGAGTCATTGAAATGCCTCCATTGTTGTTTCAGGTCACAGAAATGTCAGAAGTAATAGATCACACCGGAAGTGAAGCCATATACCACTTCATGGGCATCTACTTGGTTGGATTGATTAGCAGCATCTCAGCAGCTGTTCTTTATTGCCTCTACATAGCAGTTTCGCAAAAGCCTCTATCAACTGAAATGTTTGCTTTCTTTTGTGTTTCTGGAGCCTTCCACTGGCTTCCATTCACAATGATTGCATATGCAACAATGATTTCCGGGGACAACACGAGTCCAGTTATGTTTGCTACTTCAGCTGCAGGCTCATATGTAGCTCATGGTTTGGTATACATCCTTTTCACAAGCTCCGTTAACTATTTTCTATCAAATAAAGAAACAAAGCAATCCCACCTCAGGAGATGGCTTCGACACCGTCTTACAGTTGCCTGTCACCTTAGATTCGCCAAACTCCTTTCCGGAACTGAAGCCTTCTGCACATATTTGAGGCTCTTGGGCGCAAAAGTTGGGAAACACTGCTCCATCAGAGCAATTAATCCAGTTTCAGACCCCAGTCTTCTGTCTATTGGTGCCGGTGTTCATTTGGGGGACTTCAGTCGCATTGTTCCTGGATTCTACTCTTCTGGACGATTTAGATGCGGCAAAGTTGAGGTTCAGGATAATGCAGTAATTGGGAGCCAAAGCATTGCCATGCCTGGCTGTGTTATTCAAGAAGATGTAATTCTTGGGGCACTTTCTGTTGGCCTAGAGAACTCAGTGCTTAAGAGAGGAGGAGTATATGTAGGATCAGAAAACCCAGTCATGATCAAGAACAGACTTCATGCCTTGGATGAGCGCATAGAAGAGATGGACTTCAAATACAAAAAGATTGTTGGAAATCTAGCAGCAAATTTGGCTGCCACTACTCTTAAAGTTAAAACAAGATACTTCCATCGCATAGGCGTCAGCGGAAGGGGAGTTTTGAAGATTTATGACAACATTGCGGGATTCCCTGATCACAAGATTTTCCATCCTGGAAAGAGCTATCCCATCATTGTTAGGCACAGCAACAGTTTAAGTGCAGATGATGATGCCAGAATTGACGCTAGAGGTGCAGCACTTAGAGTACTCTCAGATGACTCAAATGGTGAAGTCCCTCTTCTGGATTTGACATTGAAAACAGGCAAAGCATTTTATGCCCGCTCAATTTCAGATTTTGCAACATGGTTGGTATGTGGACTTCCAGCGAGGGAGGAACATGTAAAACGCGTCCCTCGAGTAAGAGATGCAGTATGGATGTCCCTGCGAAATGCAAACTCATTCACCAACCTGCACTATTACTCAAATATATGCAGACTTTTCCGCTTCTCGGATGGACAAGAAATGTATGTAAAGTTTAAGTTGCGTCCTTTCGATGAAAAGATAAGTGAAGATTCAGGAAAGGTTGAGCCTATTGGAATCCTCCCACCAGAAACAGGTGCAATACCCCGAGACAGTGCCGACACAAGGCCTTTACTTTTCCTAGCTGAAGATTTCCAACAACGGGTGAGTTCTCCTGGTGGTGTTCGGTATGTTTTTCAACTGCAATTCCGGCCAATACCTTCAGATGAACAATCACGAGATGATGCCTTGGACTGCACTAAACCATGGGATGAGACAGAATATCCACATATTGATGTGGGGGAGATCATAATTGATCAAAATCTCACGAGAGAGCAATCAGAGGAGTTAGAGTTCAACCCTTTCCTCCGCTGCCATGAGATTGATGTCATTCGGGCAACCTCAGCAACAGAAAGTGCCTCCATTGATCACGGTCGTTCACTAATATATGGGATTTGTCAGCATTTGAGAAATGAAGAACCACTTCCTGAGGCTTGGAGAATGTTCATAGAGCAATCAGATGTCAAGGTAGACCTTTCGGGATGTCCCATCGCAGCTTCACTAGAGAAGAATGAACCTAACAAAGAAGTGACTCTGGAGCGGACATCATATCAAACTATTTGGTCCATTTTTGCACAACCATTACTGCAGACCTTTCTGCCATACTTCCTATTGGCATATGTTATCTGTGGTCCCCTAAACAGTATCCTCGTCAGGAAAGGCCCCGATAGATATCCATTATATTGGGCCCTTCCTTTCTTTTGGCTTTCTTCCGGCATATTGGCAGGCCTGGTGACCGTTTTAGCCAAATGGATGCTGGTTGGAAAGAAGAAAGATGGCGGAACAGCTAAAATATGGAGCAGAGGAGTTCTCGCTGACACGGTATGGCAAGCTTTTAGAACACTGGTGGGGGATTATTTCATGGAAATGACAGGAGGGTCAATTTTGTTTGCACTTTGGATGAAACTCATGGGATCAAACATAGAGTTGAGTCAAGGTGTCTATGTAGACAGCATGGGAGCTCTATTGAATCCTGAAATGGTAGAAATAGAAACAGGAGGGTCAGTCGAAAAAGAAGCATTGCTGTTCGGACATGTATACGATGGCGAAGGTGGCGTGATCAAATTCGGTAAGATTGAAGTCGGCGAGGGTGGTTTTGTGGGAAGCAGAGCTGTAGCAATGCCAGGAGTTAGAGTAGAAACCGGAGCTTGTCTTGGTGCTCTTTCTCTTGCCATGAAAGGAGAGACTGTAAGGTAACTAGATTTTGAAATTGGGGTTGCTGACTTTTACATTTTCGTGGCCGAAGTCCGGCATGTATTAGAATCTAATGAATAAGATCTCTAATATCCATCATAATAATTCAGCCATACAATCCTATCCTCACTGATTCATAGTCCCGTTCTATAAATTTCCACCTTTTCAACATTTAGCAAACTCATTCGCTTCTAATTTGTCCTAATTTGGGACAGTCTAAACAGATAATGCACTTCGTTTATCATCAAAATCAAATAATTCTGTCAATTAACCACTACCAAAACACATACTGCACTTTGCAGTCCTTAATAAAACATATGAACATTAGTAAGGAACAAAATTATGAGCAGCTTGCTTCAGAGGAAAAGTAATTACGAACCAGAGAAGCTAACAGTTTTCCTGAATCATCGAATCCAATCATTTTAACAAACTAACATATTTAGGCGCATATGATTGCAGAAGAAAGATTGAACATGGTGGATTAAAGGTCTACATTTTTGCTATAAATTGTTTATTCAAAAGAACATTTAACAAAGGATGGTAAGGAATTAACAACAGTGATTATAAAAATCTTGAGATAAAATGACTAATTCCGGCGAGAATCAAGAAAGTTTACCGTTCGTAATCGGGAAAATTCATTGGGATTTGAAGGGAAGGTGGCGTTGGGATTTGAAGGGAAGGTGGCGGCGAGGCGGCGGCGCAGTGCATCTCCGTCTTCCAGCAAAATCAAGTGACATGGAGAGTATCATTGTCAAAGGAGCTTCGTTCAAATATCTCAAAAAAATAATGCTACAATAGATTTGGCGGTCCTGTATTCAGATGCAGCAGAAATAAATACTCCTTCCGTCCCATAATTATTGTCCAGTTTTACTAAAATGAAAGATTTTATTTTTGGTCAAATTTAACTATATTTTACCTTAAACAACCGGATATACCCCTACATAAGTAATTGTTTAACCACTAAGATTTTATGTATAATGTTTTTTTACTAAGGACAAATGTGTAACTCGATCCATAAAAAGTTAAATTGGAGAATAATTTTGGGACAAAATTTTTTGGGCAAAGTGGACAATAATTATAAGACGGAAAGAGTAATTAAAATTAAAATGGGAACAACACTAATTGAAATGGAATAGAGAGCAATAAACTAACAGAATTTTTTTTTTCTTTCATTGTTCCAAACGTAACAATTACATTTCATCAAATAATCAATATGATCAAGATTGAATCTTCTTACATGTTACTATTCATCATGGCTTTAAACTTACAGAATTTACACTTGAAAAATGTATCGAAATACATTCCAAGATTAACTTGCGTTACTTAAACTTGAAGAGTTTTTATGCTTGTCTTATTTGGTTTGATCAGAACTGGTAAGAATGTTTTTAGTGCAGATTTCACATTGATTTCAGCTGTGAAGAAATAATGTCAGTCCTCCTTCGAAAATTCCAGCCTATAAACAGTGAAAATAAAGGTCTGACTTTAAGAGTATACCTTAATGAAGGTCTGAAAATAAGGGTGCTAATGAAGTTTTTAGAGCAGATTTCACCAATGTTTGGATTTTTTATTTTAATTTTGGCCAACATCATGTCACATGATGTACAAAATATCGTACAGATTATGTACAAAGGTAAAAACAAGAAGTTGTGAATATGTAAATTGACTATGTCCACGGTTTCTGCTTCAATGGTACTTGTTTAGCACTAAACAATTGGCAGATTTTATTATTGAAGCTTGCCATGGCATACCTTTTTGTGCAATTCCAATTCCATTGGATTAATCTTTTTGTGCAACTCCAGTTCCATTAGAAACTAATCTTCACCTATCGCTTGAAGTACATTTTGATGCAGGAAGGCACTTCTTTTTATTCTGTCCTAATTTGGGAGAATTATGTGTCAACAAAAGCATCTCTCTAGTTAGTCAACTAAATGAAGCTCTAAGGCAGCCTAACAAAATAGATATCTACAAGCTTCCTACTTGCTACCATAGTTGATTTTGCAAACGAAACCAACAAAACAGTTAAAAAAGTGTTATCGCCCTGGGCTATCAAAAGCTTCAACTGACCATAAAAAAATTATAAAAAAAAAAAACTACGAAACATGAAGGCGATCTATTGACTCAAAATTTCTCATCAAAGCTCACTTAGGTATAAAAACAAACACGTGATGTGCAAACCAAACATATGTACTTTCTCCTTCGACTCCTTCTAATGAACACCTTGTCGGAAATAATCACATAAAATAAGTTGCAAAACTTATCGAAACCTAAAATCTAAACCAAATTGCAAAATTCGAAGTAAAACCCAATTCAGATACAAGGGAAGGCAATTATTTGGAATAGATTAGCAGGTCCATACAATTAATTAACAACCCGACCCGGCAACAATTGAAGGGCAAACACTAAAGATTCAAAGAGAAATACCACTGGAAATTGATAATTACCTGTCATATCTTCAATTTGAATCTCAAGCATCAAGGCTAAAAAATGTGGATTTCAAAAGTTCAAATTTGGGGTACGTCTATAAATGGAAAAAATGCGGTCATGATTAAGTCCGAGACAAAATCAAAATGATAGCCAATAATTACAATATAGGATATTCATACGAAACTTATTTCTTCCTCCGTCCCATAATTATTGTTCAGTTCGGATTTTCATTTTTAGTTCAAATTATACTAAAAGTGAAATATCAAGTTGGACAATAATTTTGGAACAGAGGGAGTATAATTTTTGAAGTGGTTAAATTATTTCATCAGAGGCGTTACAGGTTGGTTGGGTAGATAAATGTAAATTATCATATGAAGTTATGATTTCTTTGTTTCAGATTAATTTTCCAAGCACTGTTATATCAGATTTCAATTTTCCGGAAATTGGGAGACCAAATTAAGTATTTCGATCAATTAATTTGTTCTCATAGACCAAATTTTTTAAAGGTTAATTAATAGGCACATAGTCCTTTTTCTTTTTCTCTTCACCAGGGAGTTTTCAAGCATCTAAAAAATGAGATACAACACAACACAGTTTAAAAAATGAACTTATAGTATAATTAACGGACTATTGTAGAAATGAAATTGCTTCATATTGCTTCTTCATTCAAATGCATCCCTATTTATAATTAGCATTTTCTTGTGGCGAAAAAATAAAGAACAAGTGCTACATTTTGTATACAGTATTAACGTTAGTACATACCTTCTCTCCTCCAAATCTTTTACTATGACTAATTAAATTGGTTATGTGTATATTTTTATGGTTATGTGTATATTTTTACTGTACCTAGCAAGCAAAAGATGAAAAGTTATGAGCAGTCCGAGAGGAAGGAGGTACGACACTGACTCAACATTGTTCATCCTATGAAACAAATAAGGATTGTTTAGACAATATTTTTGTTTTCGTTTTTTTTTAATTTGAAATGTGACCTAAAAGGTATTTTTGAGTAGAAATTTGAAATATCGTTTATTTTTTAAAATAACAATTTATTAATCACTATTGGACTACCTAGCTACCACCGTCGTCAGACTAACTTTGCCTGGCCAACTTTGCTAGGAGTTGGCCAGAATCGCAAGAGAAGCGATAAGTGGTCCGGTGACGATGAGTCAAAATAATATTTAAGATAAATTTAAAGATGTAAAGTAAAATATTGTATTAATAGTATTTATTTTGTATTGAAATTTGAATTTAAAAAGAAATTTAATTTTTTTTTTTTTGATTTAAAATGGTAGCCAGATGGACCCTGAACGATTTGAAATTGGATCGATAGTCCCCGGGAGGACTTCATTGATCTATGTTTTATGTTTCATCTTTTGTTTGTTTCAGAAACATAAGGGAGCTCTAATTCAGGGTTTCAGCTATATGTAATTATTCCCATAGATTATAAACGTTATTATACACATTTTTTTTAAAACAAAAAAAATACTCCCAACAAGTTGAATTCCGATCTTGTAATTACAATTCTCAGAGTCTTTCTTTTTTTTCCCATGCAGCTCCCGGCCTCTCGCGACAGTCTCATTCCCCACTTATTATATGCATTAACAACGTCATAGTCATGTAACATCCAGAAAAGGAAAAAAGAGAAATTTTGATAGTTGTTCTCCACCACTTTGTTTACTTTTTTTGGTAACGCCTGGAATGCCACCAGAGATGGATAAAACCACACCCACTGCAATCAAGGGCGGAGCTAGGCCTCATATATATAGTGAGGCAAACTTTTCAAAATCTTAATTTAATATACTTGTCCCTTAATAATTTCAATTTAGATGGGACAAACAGTAATATTTTTACAAAAAAATTACAAAATATCAAGGGATAACAAGCAAAAAAAAATTTCCAGCTGAGGCAATGGGTTATATGTGCGTCCGCCTCTGACTGCAATAGCCTGCAAACTACAGTGGGAGGTAAACTATCCTAGGCAAGCCTGGGGTGACAAGCTCGTGTGCGAAAACGGGAGTTTGTGACTGGGTTTGCTATAACAAGCCCTCTAGAATTGCAAATTAGCAAGGTTAGAATCATCCCCTCACTCTTGTTAGAGTAGGGATTTAAACTTATGACCTCCTCTTGAGAATAAGTGTGGTTTTACCACTGAACCAACACCTCATTCGCACCACTTTGTTGTCTTATGATATGTAAATGTACAAGAAAAAACTATGTCAAAGTTGTCCCTCAAGTTTTCGATGTTTTAATTGGTTGTTATATTTTGGGGGCGGAGATAAATAGGACCTAAACTATGTACACTATTTTTTTTTTTCTTTTCTCTTTTTCAAATAGGTTCACGGACCACTGAATTTGGGCCGTTTATGCGTTTAGGTGCAAATGCATGCATGCCATGCATTCTCCGGTTTGCCGCATAAATCGCTCAGAGTCAAATACATTGAATCTGGACTGCTTTGCATCTTCTTTCTTGTAAGAGGTCATTCTATTTTTTTTGTGCAAAAAGACATTTCATATTTTATTATTTTGGAAAAAAAAAAGAAGAAAAAATAGACAAGTGTATTCACGACGAGAACTGCACTATATGGAAGTTGCAAATAAACAACTTCAAGTAGTACCAGATTTTTATTATCTTTTATTTTTTCAAAATATTTTTCCCATTGGTGATAGACTAATTAATTATGAACAAAGGCTTTAAAGGATAATATTGATTTTTCCTTGGTTTTTTTGTGATAATTAGTACTAGTAGCTTCACGTCTTTCTGTCGTTGAATATTCTTCATTGATTCCCAGAGCTAATAACAGAATTTAAAGTCTTAATTAACACATGAAAACAAAAAGTAGAAAAAATTTAGCTATGATGGAAAAGTTATTATCTTCAATTTTAGTTCTATCTGTCTATTAACAACTTAATAATATGTACTTCATCCATTTTAAAATATGAAGAAATTTCACAAAATTTAACTAAAAATTTAATGTGTCTTTATGAAGACATATGCTAGCTCTTTATTCCAAAACGATGGACTAATTTGAATCTTCATTTTCAATACGATTTGTGTTGAAATGAAACTCAAACTGGATAATTATTTTGGATCAGAGGGAGCGACAGATAAGTTTGTTAAACTCGTTTCCAGTCAAATGTGCGAAATATGAGAGATGAAAGTGCTTGTTCATATGATGAAAGTGTTTGGGACGTTCAGGAGTACCGAAACACAACTACTCTCACTGGTCACTAGTATCACAATTTGGCTATCGCTATACGTTTGATGAACCATTTCTGTAAATGGTATACTTGGTTCATATTGGTTCGCAAGATTCTAACGGATGGATCCTTTATTTCTGATTTCGTGATAGTATATCCCCATGAAATTTTTTTTTATGGTGGGTTCTTTCATCAAGAATAAAATGTTTTCTATACTAAAAATATATTTTTGAGAAAATTATCTAATTGCATGCATGTAAACAATTTGAAGTTCGAAACAGAAATTTGGGGCAATACTAAATGGATTAATTGACTGCTTTTGGAAGAATTCAAGCTACTCCTGGATGTGGCAAAATGTGGTGGCATGTAGACACTTTGTGTTAGGAGAGTTCCAGTGTTGTGTTGTATTGCTACTGCAAGCAAATGGTATGTTATATTGTACTTGCATAATTTGGGTACAAGGCATCAATACGCTTGCACTCTTATTATTGTTATTTTTAATTGACATGTTTAATAATTAATACTCCCTCCGTCCCATAATTATTGTCCACTTTGGATTTCCATTTCTAGTTTATTTTGTACTAAAAGTGAAATATCAAACTGGACAATAATTATGGGACAGAGGGAGTAATTGTTTCTAGAATAAAAGTTTATCAATGATTTTGAGATAGATAGAAAAGAAGAGCTATCCCCCCGCGCAAATCACGTTATCATTGAGTTTTATTTGTTCCCCCAGTGCTATTAAATTAATATGATATTGAGTACAATTAAAAGTTTTAAATTGATACTTTACAAGTTGATAAACACATTGCGTTCAAAAAGCAAACCCGGGGTTTCGTGAAATCAATAAAAATTTATAATTTATTTCTGAATAGAATTTTAAAAAAAATTGTTATATCAACATTTTTTTAAAAATGTATTGATATGTTAATAACTTTTCGAATTAGCAAATTTTTTTACAACTAATAAAGCTTCATTCCTGTTCTAAATTTTATTTATTTTTTATTTTTTGTAAAAATTCTTCTATTAGAAATATTATATCACAAAACTCGAATATTCGTGAAATCACTCAATTGATTGCATTGAAGTAATTCATAATGATACAACACAGTGATATATATATATATATATATATATATATATATAGTAATTAGAGAATCCTATTTTATAAGATTCTAGAATATACATTGACAGTAATAATATTACATTTTCAAAATTTGCATCCTTCTTGGTTTAAAATAAAAACAAAAAAGGAAGAAAAGAGAGTTATATATAATTTCGTGGGTATGTACTTTTAAATGAGGATCTCACCTATATTTTTTCTTTTGGTAAATTATTTTTTATGGGTAAATTACTAAATTAGTTTAAATAAGGATTGTCAGAATCTCACCAATTCATTCATGAATAAACTTTATCATAATATATGGTTTCTAAGCCGAAATAAATTCGAGATTTTTATCAATAAATGATTGGATCTTTTCCCCCACTAATTTTAATTTAAAGTTTAAACAAAGAAAATAACATGGGGACGTTGAATGTATGAAGGAAGAAGAACAATAAATTGCCCAAAAAACCACAAAGATAAGTCAAATTCAACACAAGCTCAGCATAATTTTTTTTACCTTTATTGTTTGTTTCTCCAATAGAAATATTTGTCTGTCCAAGTCCTCAAATTTCGTCCCTTTGTTCAGCTTTTGAGCCGCCCCTTTCCAGATTCCAACCCCTCTCCAGCTCCTCCCTTTTTTTCATCGAGCAGTAGAAAAAATTTTCCCCTTTTTTTTCTTTGTTTTTGCTTAATTTTATTCAACCTTTTGGGCCTCTGATTTTGCTCCATCCTCTGCAGTCCCCACCCCCCATCTCTCTCTTTCTATCAGCCTCGAAAACCCGCATAAGCACAAAAAAGATTCTGCAGAAACTCTGTTTTTAATTTAATTTACCATTTCTTATTGAATTATGTTTTTGTTTCATTTTCTGGGTGTAGCATAGAAGATTTGGAGAAACCCAGAAATTTTCTTGGGCTTTTGAGGTGGGAATTGGATCCTGATAGGTGTGATGGAAGAGATTGGGATGGATATCAGGTGGGTTGCTGCCATTTTCTTCCTATAGTTTTCAATCGAATTTTCTTTTATTTTTCTTTGATTGTGGATAGGGATTAGTTGCTTGTCTCTGTATATGGTTACTAATACAAATTTTACCTCTTTTATTGTCATGCTCTTTAATCCTTTCAAGTTTTCAGGCTTTTGATTGTTGTGGGAGGTTGGGGTTTTGTAATATATTTGGTTTATGTGATTGAAATTTGATTTTGGCATGTGTGTTAAATATCCAAAAATCTGATGTTTTAACTGTGTAAAAATGATTGGCTTAAAGATGTTTACTTCGTTTCAATCAACATTGAAAACAATGATTTCATCGTGTCATCTTAAATTCCTTAATGTTTCTAAGTTTTCTTTTTCCGAATTGAGGTGGCAATTGGACATCACGGTTTTGACTCGTGATCCTTTTCAAAAAAAATTTTGGCGTAATGGAATGCAGTGTTGTGAGTGGTGTGTATATGTATATTGTATTCTTGTTTTATCATTTTTACATGGATTGAGTTGATAATATTTGGTTGTTGCCAATTGTGTTGGAAGCAGTTCCGACATTGAAGTTGATGATATAAGGGTTGACAATATTGCTGAAAAAGATGTTAGTGATGAGGAAATTGAACCTGAAGAATTGGAGAGGAGGATGTGGAAGGATCGAATCAAGCTTAAGAGACTCAAAGAGAAGCAGAAGATTGCGGCCCTGCAAGCTGCAGAGAAGCAAAAGTCGAAGCAGACCTCTGATCAGGCAAGGCGAAAGAAGATGTCTAGAGCTCAAGATGGGATCTTAAAGTACATGCTGAAGCTTATGGAAGTTTGCAAGGCTCGTGGATTTGTTTATGGAATTATTCCCGAGAAGGGTAAGCCAGTTAGTGGTGCCTCTGATAACATTAGGGCTTGGTGGAAGGAGAAGGTGAAATTCGACAAGAATGGGCCTGCTGCGATAGCTAAGTATGAAACTGAATGCCTTATCAAGGGAGAAGGAGTTGGTAGTCTTAATGGAAATTCACAAAGCATTCTGCAGGATTTGCAGGATGCAACCTTGGGATCACTTTTGTCATCTTTGATGCAACATTGTGATCCTCCACAGAGGAAGTACCCATTGGAGAAGGGTGTGTCCCCTCCTTGGTGGCCATCCGGCAATGAGGAATGGTGGACAAGATTGGGACTACCAAAGGGTCAGACGCCGCCATATAAGAAACCACATGATTTGAAGAAGATCTGGAAAGTTGGAGTCCTTACTGCAGTCATAAAGCATATGTCACCTGATATTGCCAAAATCAGGAGGCTGGTACGGCAGTCTAAGTGCTTACAGGATAAGATGACTGCCAAGGAAAGCTTGATATGGTTGAGTGTCTTGAGCAGAGAGGAAGCTCTTATCCAGCAGCCAAGCAGTGAGAATGGTTCTTCTAGCATAAGTGAAGCACCATCTAAAGGCCGTGGGGGAAAGAAGAAACCTTTAGTTAGCAGTGACAGTGACTATGATGTAGATGCTGTAGATGATGGTGCTGGCTGTGTTTCATCTAATGATAGCCGGAGAAACCAACCCATGGAGGTAATACCAATAAATGTTACTTCTCAATCTAATCAAGAAAAAGAACTCGTAGAGGAGCAGCCCAAGAAAAAGAAACGTAAGAGATCAAGCAAGGATATTATAGTGGTCTCACAATCTCTGAATGAGCATCATCATGCTAAGCAAAGAGATTTGGTGCCTGATATTAATCAAAATAGTGCAGAACATACTAACATTATCATGAATGAAGAAGGCCAGTCAGGAAGTGACAGGGTAACAGCTGCTAGCTCGCTTGAGAAAGAGGTCGGGCGCCAATCTCATTTACCTGTACCTGATCACAACCATTTATCCTCTCTTTCGTCTGCCAATGATATGCAAGTGGAGAACATTTACTCGGGTAACAGATCCTTATTACAGCCTTTCACTCAGAATTCAGAGCTTGTACCTTATGATACTGGGTTGGGTCAAGAACCTCAAGGTCTTCAGCTGCACCATATACCTGACTGCCCTGGGCTGAACATGGCAATGCCTAACGCAGAGTTTCAGTATGGGCCTTTGGATTCTGATTTTCAGAATCTGCCTCAAAGTTCTCTTATGCATCATCATCCAGAAAATTCTTACTTGCTAACTGGGGTTTCTGATATTGGTTTGGCACCTACTCCTTTGTATCCTTTCTTTGATCCACCTATGACTGTTGAATCAGCTCGTGATACTAGGCACTCTGGAGTGACTTTTAGTTCACTCCATTCTCGGATGGAAGATTCTGGAATGAATATGCCTGTTGTACAAAGAAAGGAGAATGAAGAAAGTGTTGGAGAATTGGATCAATATTTGAAAGACAGGTATCAAATTGAACAAAGTGCACGTGTTGAGGATCCTATTGTACCTCTGCCAGAATTTTCATTATATGATGGTTCATCAATAGACGATTTCTTAGATTTTGATGAGTGCTGGCAGCTGGCAGCTTGAATATATGTATTGTTTCATGAGGAGCACATATTCTTCACTATTGTAAGTGAATCTTTTCTTACGGCACTGTGCAATTTTTTATGTTCTACTGTTTTCTAGGGAGGTAACAGTTGTTATATGTTTCATTTTGGCACCCAGATGAAGGGAGTTTCTGAAGCTGGCCAAGTTCTGTTCCTCCAGTTATACTTGCTTTGCTGTTCTGGTAGTGAAGACATTAACTGATTAGCACAAAAAACCCGAACGATTCTGGGCTTATATTTTCCCTCCCCTGTTAAACATTAGCGTAGGAAACCTATCTATCCTCATTTTTATGCAAAGGCATTGAACAGAATAATGAAGTTTTGGGGATGATTTTGGCCCAGTTTGTTTGATGCTGCATTTTGTACAGTATGAGAGTGAGTAGTAGATCCTTCATGCTTTCCATGTGAATCGTAGGTTTTAAATATTTCTAGTTGCTGTTTCTTAGTCCTTGTCCTTCTAATTCTAGAATAGAATTGTCGATTGCGTTGCCTGAATTAGATTTCAAGGTTATATAATTGGTAAAGTTGGCCACCATAGATGGTTTTGCTCATTTTGAGGATATAACATTATTATTTTGCTTTCTTTTGTTCTGAAAGCTGAATTCCTGATCCTTGTACATAGAGAAAGAAAAGCTTCACTTCTAGGGGCGTGTCGTGCTTTATTTTTTTATACATGGGGGAATGTTGTCAACGTTGAGATATACTGTTTTAAAGTAACTCCTTTACATGTTCGAACTCCTACAAGTTTTTTTTATGTCCAAGTTATGCAGTTTTGATGATGTTCCTCCTGATAACTATTAGCATGTGGACTCTGGTTCGATTTATGGATTAAAGGAACATGATTTTGTTGTTACATTTATAGTGAGAGCAGGTTTACTTGTTCATGCAAGTTATGCAACAACTAGAGGAGTGAAAATGGCCCATTCATTATAATTTGATATGAAAATGGCTTGTTAATTTGTTGATGATTTAGTTCAATACCGAAACTAGTACTGTTCAGTGTTCACTTCTACCGTTCGGTTACTTGGTCACATGTGCACAATGCAAATGGAACATTTTGGTGGAAACTGAGATTACGAAATGCAACTGTCTCAATTTGTGCCCAGTTGTGTGGGAAAACCAAAAAAGGTTGAGAACAATTAACAGGCAATAATAAACTCAATTTACTTTTATACAAGTCAGTTTCCCAATATTTTAGTAATATGGAAGATTCTTAGAACCTACTAATCTTCACTTGTCCAAAAATCTACTGAAATAATTACACTTTAATTCAAAAATCTGACTACAATCATTACACTATTACAGAAAGATTGCATTTCCCTCTTATTTGGAAAAATATCAAATAAAATTAGAGTAATTTAGTTACTTGCCAAAGGGAATGAGAATTTGGAAAGCAAAGCTTGGAGGGCTTCAAATCCAGCAGCAGAACAACTTTTCTATATGAACAGCAACAATAACCAACACTGCTCTAAGCCACCAAAACTCAACACCATACACCAACTCAAGAAACTTCAGACACTGAAACAATGTCATCAACAAAAGAAAACATACTTCTCTTCCCATTCATGGGACAAGGCCACATGATCCCTTTCTTGACATTAGCCCTCAACCTTGAACAAGAGAAAGGTTATGCCATAACTTTGGTGAATACTCCAAACAACATCCTAAAGCTTCAATCCTATCTGCCACCAAACTCTTCGATTCGCCTCCTTGAAATCCCTTTTGATAGCGAAAACCATGGCCTCCCTCTAAACAATGAAAGCATGGATACTCTTCCTCCTGATCTCATTCTCAAATTCATCGAATCTTCTCGATCGCTTAAACCCGCTTTCGAAAAATTGATCTCTGATCTTGTTCATGAACAGACTAGTTCTTCACTTACCTGCATTATCTCTGACTGGATGCTCTCTTGGTCTGTTGAAGTCGCACACAAATTTGGCATTTTCCATGCAATCTTCAATGTTATTGGGGCATATGGTATGGCAGGGTACCATACAATGTGGTTAAATCTCCCTCACTTGAAGCAGAATGCTCCTGAATTTCCCCTGCCCAATTTTCCCAAAGGTTACAGTTTTCTTTTTGATCAGCTGCCTCCCCTGATTAAGTCAGCTACAGCTATTTGGGAATTTGTGCAGAACACATTTCATGAATGGTCAGAGACTGATGCAATGTTGTTCAACACAGTTGAGGATATCGATCAAATTGGATTGACATACTTCAGGGAACAATATTCTTGGCCAATTTTCTCTGTAGGACTGATTATTTCGCCTCCAGGAAGCCGAACAAGACGCGCGAAAGAAGCAGAAACAAACTCCAAAATCTGTAAGCAATGGCTTGACTCAAAACCTGCTAACTCTGTTCTGTATGTCGCATTTGGGTCTCAAAACACGCCTTCAGCCCGACAATCGAAACAGTTGGCAGAGGCATTGGAGGCAAGTGGAGTAAACTTCATATGGGCAGCTAGACCACCTTCCGGTTTTGCAACAGAGTCAAACAGTAATGATGATGTTGATAAGACTTGGCTGCCAGAAGGATTCGAAGATCGAATCCATCGGAGCAATAAAGGGTTGCTGATTTTTCAATGGGCACCACAGGTGGATATATTATCTCATGAATCAGTTGGTGGTTTTTTGAGTCATTGTGGATGGAACTCAATTATTGAAGCACTTAGCAATGGGATTCCAATTCTGTCATGGCCAATGGCTGCAGAACAACCTTTCAATGCTAAATACTTGGAGGAAGAATTGGGAGTTGGAATTGGATTTGCTAATGGAAAGCAATGTGAACTTCAGCCTGAAGAAGCTGCTGAGAAGATTAAAGTTGTTATGATTGAGGCTCTAGGGGAGAAAATGAGATCAAATGCTTCCAAGATCAAGGTGGTGATTGAGAAAGCGTGGAATGGCTGCGACGGTCATACGGCGCCTTCGGACGCAGCATTGGATGACTTTCTGAGTTTTGCAATGCAGAGGAAAGAAGCATGATTCTGAGGAGAAAACTTATCAAAGAAGGCTTTTGTTCCTTGTTCAAAATTTGCATTGGTTGGTCATATTCTATTTCTATGTTCTAGATTAAGCAAGACTATAGCTTAAAAGTAAAGTTAATCAAAAAAATTACTGCATTCGGATTGAAGACAAATAAGATCTGCTTTACAATCAATATCATTTTATGAAATATGTATGTTGTCGTATTGGAATTGAGCATGCTATGGATGGAACTTTGAACATCTATTTCGTTGTTTTGAGTACGTATACGAATCAACAAACTTAAATACGAACGCAACAATACACATTATCTGCAAATCCTCACCAAACACATCGTAATGCACATGAAACTTCTGATCATGTGTGAGCAGATTTTATGTTAAACTTCAAGCATATATCTTCAATTTGAAACTTTTTGAAGGAATTTACTGACCTCAAACGATGCGGAAAAATTAACCAAAGGACCTTGCTCCTCGATGCTTTGAACCCGCGGTGATTGAACCTTCGAAAGATCCAACCTTGTATCCACTGATTAAGTGTACCCATCTCGAACCTACTCTCTGTATATTGTGACTATTCACTCATATCTCTGGATTGATAGGTTGTACCGTATTTAACAAAGAGGAGAGAGAAATACAGTTACAGAGAATCTCCATCCAGATAACTAATACTATCTGATAAGGAGGATTTGATTTTTGAGTTAGTAACAGACTTATTCTGTTTAACTAACTCTATCGGGTCAAACCTACTCGGGTCGGATCGTCATGGGCGAATCAACCCGATTTATGAATCCGTTTTCCAACATCTCCCACTCGCACATGACGAGGAGACTTTAGGAACAAATCCTTTGTTCTTTATCATGATGACATTCATAGAGACAAATGATCGGTGCGACCGCTGAGTCTTCTAACGTTCGGGAGCACTATACTAGAAACCAGCTAAGGCCAACAAGAGACATCAACCCTCTTAAAATCTTAAAAACCTACTCAGTATGCCCTAGAATCAATTGATCATGCCAGTATAAGTATCTTTAATCCCTCGCAGAGCATACTTATACATTTTACTTGTGTAACACACTTATAATTATGTCACTCCAATAAAGCGCCGTAATCTAAATATTCTTCCTCTGCCCTAGTGTTAATTGATTTTCAAATTAACAGCTTTCCCAGTAATATTCCATAAGGTCGAATTGCTCATGACAGTCGGCAACATACCAAAGTAGCTTACATTAATTATCAACCTATCAACATAGTCAAAAAGTCTTAAAGGTATATGATTTAAGACATATAATGTCTATAAGGACTCACATAGTGATGAAGCAGGGATCCATTCAGTCAATTCCTTTATAGTCGCAAAGCACATGCTTATGAATGCATGCCACGATATAGTAATTTAGATATCGTGTGAACCTTAGTCAAGTCGCTCTCTAAGCGCCTTACTAGAAATTTTTCTCTACCATGTGTATCTCAACATTAAAAAAAATTTTTATGTACAGCTCTTCTACAGGCTTACATGAAATATCCAAATTCCATATACGATCTAAGTAATAGATCTCATCTTGAACCCGTCAAGGCGACATCTAATGTGTCTCATCTTTGCTCGCTCTCAATAGTGCCACAAAGGTGATTACTTGTGTGAGTTAGTCAATCAGCCTGCTTCTATCATATAATTTATATATGTTCTAATCATCAAAATTTACACAAAATAAAAAATTATGTAAATTCGTAAAGAGACATATATCGAAAAATGAATGTAGTTCACTTTATTAAATGATTGAAAAGTGTATATAGATATATATATATATATATATATATATATATATAAATTTTACAACATTTATTTAAATTCTACGCAACCCTAATGCGTTTACATGACCTTGAAATACATCTCTAGGTATAAGTTTTGTAAAAGGGTCAGCTATCATTTTAGTCGTAGAAATATGTTGTAGAACTACATCCTTTTGCGCCACTGCTTGTCAGATAAAATTGTTTTTCAGATCAATATGCTAGGTTCTACCATGGTACTTGGGATATTTGATAAAATCCAGCATAGCTGTGTTGTCACAGTAGACAAGAGGAGGCTGCGATGCAACTTTAATAACATCAAGATCCTCAAGGTACCTTCTTAGCCACATTGATTCTTGCACAGCAAGTGTACACGCAACAAACTCTACTTCCATTGAAGACAAAGATATACATGTTTACTTCTTACTCATCCAAGTTATGACACCATTATTGAGTAAGAATACATATCCAGAGGTGGATTTATTATGGTCTCGGTCTCCGCCCTAGTCGGCGTCCGAATAAGCAACGAGCTCTAAATCCATTCCTTGATAGCGCAACATATAATCCCGAGTCCCTTTGATATAGTGAAGTATCCTTTTGATGGCTTCTAGTGAGCCATGCCAGGGTTAGATTGGTAACGACTAACCAAACTAACTGCATAGCAAATGTCTGGACGAGTGCACATAGCAGCGTACATCAGTGTACACTGCACTCGCATATGGAACACGACTCATCTTTTCCTTTTTTTCAGCAGTGTTAGGGCAATCTTCAAGCCTTAATGATGCACATTTGAGTACAGAAGTTTCAATGGGTTTACAATTATGCATTTGAAAATGCTCTAGCACTCTTTGTAGGTAAGTCTCTTGTGATAAACCTAAAAGTTTCTTGGAGCGATCTCGAAAGATTTTAACTCCAAGAACATAATTTGCTTCACCCATGTCCTTCATCTCAAAGTTAGAGGACAACCACTTCTTCATGGTGAGAATTAACTCCTTGTCATTTCCGGCCAATAAGATATCATCCACATACAATGATAGTATGATGAAAGTTTTCTTAGAACGTTTCGTGTAGACACAATGGTTTTCCTCAATCATCATAAAACCATCATTCTTGATAGCTTGATGAAACTTGAGGTACCATTGTCTGGATGATTGTTTCAATCTGTACAGAGACCTATTGAGCTTGCAAACTTTGCGCTCTTGGCCTTGTACGACGAAACCCGTAGGCTATTGCATATAGATTTCTTCATCCAGTTCTCCATTGAGGAACGCAGTCTTAACATCCATTTGGTAAAGTTCCAAATCATTATGTGCAACGAGTGGCAGAATTAGGCGAATAGAGGCAAACCTAATCAAAGGTGAAAAAAGTTTCCTCATAGTCTACACCATCTTGTTGGGTATAGCGTTTTGCCACAAGGGAAGCCTTGAATCGTTCAATGGAACCATCAGCCTAGCGTTTTAGTTTAAGAACCCATTTATTCCCAATAGCTTGTCGCCCCGGTGGAAGATCAATTAAGTCCCAGACTTGGTTGGTCTTCATTGATTCCATTTCGTCTTCTATGGCTTTAATCCATTCCTTACTAGCCTTAGATGGGATAGCTTCTTTGTAATTTCTAGGCTCATCTTCATCATAAACAGCAGCCATGAAAGCTTCCCCTTCAATCTCAAAATGACGACGAGGAATATTTCCACGCTTACTTTGCCGAGGATGAAACTCCTCAGAACTCTCACTGGGTCCTATCAAGCTAGTCAAAGGAATGTCGCTCCCACTATTCCCAAGATGTTGAGGAATATCCTCTTCAAGAAGGTTAAAGGAAGCGTCGATTTCTGTATCCCTTAAATCATAGATTCTAAGTTTTCATTTACCTCGCGTTTGCTTGGGAAATCATCTTCCAAAAATTCTACATCTCGTGACTCAATCTCGGTTACACTTCCATCTTGCTGCTCACCAATAAATACATAATCTTTAGAGTGCTCAGATTACCTTATGAAGATACACTTCTTGCCTCTAGGTCCTAACTTTCCATATCGATGAGAAGTGTTATGTATATAAGCAGCTCTACCCCATGGACGGAGATTTTTAAGACTAGGTGTTCGACCGGTCCAAAGCTCGTATAGGGTAGAAGGAACCGACTTCAAAGGCACAGGATTAAGTATATTAGCAGCAGTCAACAATGCATCTCCCCAAAAGGAAATAGGCAAATTTGCTTGCGCCATCATAGACCTAACCATATCTAGTAACGTTCGATTCCTCCTTTAACGCTACACCATTTTGTTGCGGAGTATAAGGAATCATTAGGTGCCTGATAATTCCTTTTCTTTCACATAATTCCTTGAATTGATCAGATAGATACTCGCGGCCTCGATCAGTGCGTAGGCTTTGACCTTTCTTTTTAATTGATTCTCGACCAAATCAATGTAGTATCTAAAGCAATCTAATGCTTCTGACTTATGGGAGATCAAGAAGATATGACCAAAACGCATATAGTCATCTATGAATGTGATAAAATAGGAACTACCATTACGTGCCTTCACATTAACTGGGCCACATATATCAAAATGGATTAACTCTAATGGAGTATTAGCCTTTCTAGATTTAGAAAATGGTTTTCTGGTTAATTTTCCTGCTAAACGATGTTCACATGTGGGCAAGTCAACTTTAGCGAAGGAGCCTAAAAGGCCTTCTCTAGCTACACGTTTAATTCGATCTTGCCCCATATGACCCAATTTATTATGCCACATATGTGAATTATTATTGCTACTATCAATTGAAGCAAGCAAAGCAAAATTATTATGAAAAAGAGGACTATTATTTGAAATAATATCCATAACCATAAAATCATCATAATAAAACCAGAACCATAAAAAGTTATTCCATAATAAAGATCCATGCGATTATTCTCTAAACAATACAAAAATCAAGTTTAAGCAATGTAGTCATAGAAAGTAAATTCTGCCGCATTTCAGGTGCATAAAGTACATCATGGAGATATAAAACGCGTCCATTCCGCATTTCCAACTTGTAAGTGCCAATGCCATGCATATCTACACTTGAGTTGTTCCTCATATATACTTTGATACTCCCAATTAGAACACGAAGAAAGTCAACGAATCCTACTATGTCCCTTGAGATGTGGTCTGTTGCACCTGAGTCTGCAATTCACGAATGAAGAGATTCAACAACTAACACAATAGATGCTATATAAGAAGCAACCCAAGGAATGTAATCAATACTTACTTTTTGATCTTTCTTTGGCACAATACATTCATGTGCGAAATGACCGACTTGACCACAATTATAACAGTTCATCTTACTCTTACCTTTCTTGCAAGCTCATTTTCCTCTTTGGTGTTTAGCCTTCTTAGGCGCATGACCATTCTTGGTTAATCAGTGAGACTAATTAACAAACACATGGTCTTCAATTTTCTTTTCAAAATGCTATCAGGATCGAAGACAAAAAAAAAATTTGGCAACAAAAAAAAAAAAGTCCACCAAAAAAACTGTCGGCCATAGATTTCATAAATCAAGTACTCAATTATCATAGCCACATGTCATGCATATTAATCAGCCCAAAAAAAAAAAAATGTATGCATAAAGATCTCCGGTGCATAATATTGAAGGACAATCACCGAACACAAAAAAAAAACAAATGTTCAATCCAGAAACATCAAATGAGCACAAACCCTTGCTCTGATGCCAATAAAGGAATTTACTGACCTCAAATAATGCGAAAAATTAACCAAAGATCTTGCTCCTCGATGCTTTGACCCCGCAGTGATTGAACATTCGAGAGATCTAACCTTATATCATTGATTAAGTGTACATGTCTTAATGAAAGAACCTACCCTCTGTATATTGTGACTGTGTGTATTCACTCATATCTCTGGATTGGTAAGTTGCATCGTATTTAACAAAGAGAGTGAAATACAATTACAGAGAATCTCTACTCAGATAACTAGTAATATCTAATAAGAAGGATTTGAATTTTAGTTAGTAACAGACTTATTCTATTTAACTAACTCTATCGGTCAAACCTACTCAGGTCGGATCGTCATGAATGGATCAATCCGGTTTATGAATCCGTTTTCCAAGACTTTTGAAAATTGAAAGAATCACGGATGAATTTGTTTGTATATACAACAATTATCTAATATATGAACAGATAACATCTGGAACACCTCAGGTCAATCGGGATGAAAAATGTAGTAGCTAGGTATCCTTGCAGATGAATTTTAAAAATGCATAAAGCCTTTGCTTCAAGTACATTCAACTAATCGACTCCAAAAGTACGATGGAAAAAACAATACGAACATTCAAGGACTGATGCCAAAAGAAAGCGAACCACAATCTTCCTCCACGCTTGTTCCAAATCCAGCAGAATGAGCAAAACCATCAAGTTAGGAAGTAATGATCTTCAGCTCTGAATTCCCGTATTCCTCCTGGACTTAATCTTTCCAACTGATTCTAGTACAGAACTGGAACAATTTACAACACGGATAAGTGACGAGATTGTTTCAAAACAAGAAAGCATCGATTCCAAACATGCACAATAAAAAAACACCAACTTTTCAAGACATCTAAATTGATCTTCAGAAGCACTCCAAGAGAGTAGGTCATGAGATGACAATTTCAAGAATCTAAGTTTGGAGAATTCTTCTTCTTCCGACATGGTCCAACTGTCTTCCTCGAACCTTAAACGCACAAATTTGGGGACTTCGAGGTTTGACAGTTTAGAAATGGTGGCAAGACTTGTACTAGACAATCGAAGCCTTGTCAAAGTCAATTTTTTCAGATTTGCAGGAAAACTAAACTCAAAGATATTGCATATAAGAACCACAGGCGTGTAGATGAGGGGCAATGACAGACTAAGTGACTTTAGTTGGCTAAAAAAGTCAGGAACAACAATCTTAACAAGGTTTCCTGTTATGTCCTGTGAATGAAAATCTAAAATGATGCATTTCAACTTACGGACATTCGGAAACTTTTTCATTAAAGCCTCCATGTTGTCCCCATATTGAATAGCTACACCAGAAACCCAATCCAACTCACATAAATCAGATGTGTTGGCCAGATTTTCCATGGAAAAAATACCACCTGGATGACTCAAGAAAAGAAACCTTAATTTTTTCAGATTCCAAAAACTGGATGGCAACGAGAGCGTGCTACTCATTCTGATTTGATTTAGAATAAAAGTTTTCAAATTACACAATTTACCTATGGAGGGTGGGATTTTCCAAAAACTGCCTCGAACGGCTAGGAAAGCCAACTGCGCGAGGATTCCTATTTCACTTGGAAACACATTACCTAAATTGATCTGCGCCAAATCCAACACCCTTAGAAGTTTGCACATACTAATCATGAAGGATAAATCTTGCTGCAGCAAGGAAAACGAGTTGTAGCCCCAATGCCATCCGTAATTGGTGAAACACAGAGAACGTACAAATGGAAAAACTTTGGACAACCTCGGGAGATACTTTGGATCAGCGTTTATGCCAAACCTTCGTAGGTTACATGGCAAATGAAATTCCAAAACGCTCTCATTTCCTTCGGGGAGATAGAAAAAGCCTTCATCTTTGGCTTTCTGCAAACAAAACTCATGAAGCAAGTTATGAACGCGGCATGCTTTGACCCTACCCGTGGATGTTGCCTGCACCGTAAGTAAGCTTCTAGATATCAAAGCTTTCAAGTACTCTTCAGCAACATCTTGGATTCGCTTCGTCTCTTTTTTCCTGACAAATCCTTCTGCTATCCATTTGCAAAGCAACCTCCGAATTGAAACCAGCTCGTTTTCTGAAAATGTCGCAAAATAGAGAAAGCAAGGCCTTAAACTCTCCGGTAAATGGTTGTAGCTCACCCCAATGTGATCTTGCACTGTTCTAAGATTGAGACATTTCCTGAGGTCTTTAAATCATCCAGAATCTTCTGCCAACCCTCTGAGTTTTCGGTTGATAGCATGCCAGCTATAATGACAAGTGACTCTGCAACAAAGCCATGCTCTCTTCTTCACTGAACGGCCTAAGTTTTTGAGGCTCGGGAGAAACATCATCATGACGGCTAGTCAACAAGATTCTACTGGAGTTTTGATCATCAGGGAATGTAATATTTTCAAGTTGCCCCACGCTTCAGCTTCCCATATGTCGTCCAAAAAGATGAGATATCTTTTTCCTTTTAAACTTCGCCAGACCGTTTGTACTAAAAAGTGGGGATCATCAGCAACAATTTCTGAGCATTTGGTGGGATCAGTTTGGTGTAAAATGTCAAGGAGGACTCTTTTTGCATCCACTGTTTGCGACACATAAGTCTGTGCACGAACAGAGAAATGGAAAGAAGCAGAAGGATCATTGTAAATTTTTGTTGCCAAAGTAGTCTTACCTTATCCCGGCATACCGACAAAGGCCACAGTCTGTAGTTGCTTCGATCCTCTTGTGAGCCGATCCTGAATTGATTCCGCCTCCTCGGCGAAGCCCACAACCTCATTTTCTAGCGTTAGAGTTCCTTGAGATGGGACATGAAAATGAGTCGCGGTTACTTCCTTCATTCTGATTGCCACTTTTTGCTCTTTCATTTCCAGCTTAACGTTCTCGATCTCTTTCATGGTGGAATCAAAAGATGTTGAAAAGGAATTTGAAAGATCACCCTCCATTAGGCAGTCTATGAGATGCTCAACCCTATACACCACCGCAAGAATATGAACCCATAGAACTTGGATTTTCTCCTGTTCCTGGCGCAACGCCGATGTGTCCAACAAGAAAGATCTTAAGGTGACAAGTTCTGTTTCAATGGTTTGGGCATGACTCTTGTTATTTGTTTCGGTTTCACAAATTGTTTGCTCCCGCAGCTTTTCTAATAAAGAGTCAACAAAGGACATTGGAGCAGTGTGTGGAACAATATTGAGCAATGGTTCTGTGTCATCTTTCGTCCCGAGCTTTGTGACAACAAGCCTGATTGCTTCCAACACATCCCGAAGGAAAAGATTTAGCTTCTACACTTGTGTTGTGTACAATGAGCAAAAGATTATTCCGGCATCAGCTACCAGATCATAAACGCGGTGTTTATTTATCAAATCTGAGTTGGTGGTCTTCTGGGAGAGAAGGAATCTCAAGGATCCAAGTCCTTCGTAAAGTTGTTGGAGTTGATCTTTTCTGAGAACCACACCATGAGTGGTATCCGGTTGTAACATTTCCCGAACATTAGACATGAGAGATTCAATGAATTTTTCCGCGTGAGTTATCCAGCTGTAACATCCACGTTTCGATGAGCGTTTAATTTTCTTGCTAGACCTGATCTCCAGAAATCAGGACTTGGCGGGGCGACAAAGCTTCCAAGTGTTGTAAAAATTTCCATCTGCACTCCCAAGGCATTCATTGGTTCTCCAATATGTTCCCTCGCCAAAATGCGTTGCAGCGGCTCCCAAAGTTCCTGTAGTTCCATTAATGTGGATCGTGTGCCAGAGAATTCCGTTTGTTTTGCTCTTCCAGGTATCCAACGGAGTAACGTAGAATTGATCAATTCGCTCATCCCAAGTTCTGAAGTGTTTTGTGGGAAGCGCCTCTGAGTAGTATCGTCTGAAGTACCTTCACGAAATATAAAAAGACGGTGAGAGTGAATCGATTTGGCCATCTTGTGAACAGGGTCGTCAATTGTTAGCAAGAAAGATCGGAGACCCGAAACGTTGCCCAACAATTTGGTTGAGCGAATGAATATTTCAAGATTCAGAAACCTAAATAACATCATCTAGTAGACCGAAGGATTAAACGAAGCAACTCCAGCCACCAGGCGATGTAAATCATCTATGGCAGATGAAGTGTCGGACAAGAGTGTGGTGGAACTGGTGGAGGCCATCTTGTGGTTCAGATATTAATATTTGCAGCAAAGTATACTCAGAAGAAGAAGAAGAAGAAGAAGAAGAAGAAGAAGAAGAAGATTGTGTTGAACAGAGTAAAACAGAGATGGATAGATTGGGATGGGACTGAAAGTGAAGTATTGGGTCTAAGCTAGGTTGATGAACTAAGCTTTAAGATTGGACTAGGAAAAGAAGCAGGATTAAAAGGAGAATCACAAGAGTATGGAGGGAGAGGACGATGTTGATGATCAAAGGCCCGGGTATGATGAAGAAGGATGAATATTAGAGCTTAGAATGAAAGTAACATATACTTTCACAAAAAAAAAGAGGCCAAATTGAACTTTGGGATTTGCACTAAATGTAAACTGTTTAAACTGTTTTCTTGAAACAGAAGTAGAAATATATACATATGTGATAGAGACAACAACAGTCCGATCTTATACAAAGTACATAAGATAGAGCATATGAATATGCGACTTTACACACATAAGACTAAGACTAGTAACAACCTGCTCCCCTCTTGCCAACTTGACATTCTCTACGCAATTGTATTAGTCAAGTGCATTCGACATTTTAGACTGTTTCCATGGCTATTCTAACTAAATGTATAAAAATGGTTCTTCAAACTTACCTCACTATAAAATAATCGATTGAATCTATAACATAAAAAAAACACCTTCCCCCTTATATTTTGGATCATCCAAAAACAGTGATGGCACAATTCACTCCCCACCCATTGCGAAACCAATCTAAAAGAAGAATACCGTTAAGATCTTACCATAATGCCCAAATCATTCAAGCCGACTTGGCTCTTCATCCTCTTCGACGTTTTCGTCAGAGGCTGAAGGAGGTTATTAAAGAAAGCCACACTGTACTTGCGAAAAGAAAGCATATGAGCGAATTTGACTAAAGAGGAAAAAAAAAAGATCAATTGAATCTGAACTTTAAAACAAACAATTTGAGAAAGAATAATCTTGATCTTCTACTTTCATCATCGATCTTATCCTCCACCGGCGGTATATAACCGTAATTGAGAGGAGAAATCAGAAAGAATAACCTTGATCTTCAACTTTCATCATCGATCTTATCCTCCATCGCCGGAATAGAACCGTAGTTGAGAGGAGAATCAGAAGAAGAGGTAGCGATATTTTCTTTTTTCCATTTTGAAAATCAAATCTGATTAGGATGGATATAGGTGAGTGAGTAATTAGAAGTCCTGATGTGAGGGGTTTTCTTTGAATTTGAAGTGAAACATAAAATAGAATTTGAGTGGTTTTTTTGCTATGCTTCCTGATTTGCAGTTTCAAGAACGGAAACGACGGGAGGCCCATTTTAGGGAAAGAACGAAGGAAAAAGCAGTGTTTTTTTTAGGACCCAATTTTTCTTTTCTTTTTTTTTTCTTTCTGAAATTCTAGCGTTCCACGTATCAGCTTTCATTTTGTATTGAAAAAGGCCTTTGGCGGAAAAATTTTTAATGTGGAACTTACACCTGTTCTTTTTGTTTCCTGCTTTAATTAAGTACTATGGATATACAACAAATAATCCTTAATTGTAGCTCCTTATTTTAGCATATCTTCCTAATCTCAAATTTAAAATTAAAAAAAGATTTCATCCGATCCATCCAAAAATTAAAAAATGTTATAATCACGAACCATCATTTAAGAGTTGTATAAACTGATAATCACGAACCGTCATTTCAGAGTAGCACAAAACTATCATCACGAACCAGGATCTGTACCACATACTCTTAAATCCAATAGACGGCAACTAGAAGGCTGCTAGAGTCGATAGAAGTGAAGTATTTTCGATTCATTTCCATTCTCCATACGCCATAAACTGTTGCGGTTGAAGAACGCAATGAGAGCGGCATGAAACAAGTGCCATCCCCCATCAAATTACTTGCATTTGCAGGTTGTTATTGATACAGCAGGTGCACCAACAATAACTTTCATTTTCATCCTCGATTAGTCCAAACTGAATACTCAAAATCGCTCTTGCTTTCCAAAAGGTTCTTCATTCAATTTCTTTGTTTCTTCGGGCGCGACCTAGGGTTTTGGATGAGGATTGGTGGATTTCTATGGCGTTGATGTTTAGTTCTTGCAGTTTTGTGTATGCAGGTAAATCCGTGAGCTTTTTCAGTCGACGACAATGTCCTAACGCGAAAAGGGAGGCAAGGGACTTGGAAAGGCTGGTGCCGAGCGTCACCGTAATGTTCTCCGCAACATTCAGGGAATCGCAAAGCCAGTTATCAGGCTTTGGCCCTTAGAGGTGGAGTGAAGCATATCAGCGGTAATTCGATTTATTTCAGTTTGTGCTATCAGTTTCTTTCAGTTCCCTTATTTTGTAAAAAAGCTTTCTTTTTTTCTCTGAGAACTTTTAGCCGAAGTGAAGTTTTAGAGTTTGGACTTTGGAGGTAGTGTGCTACTGCATATGTACCATCCATGTTTCTTCCTCCCCCTCCTGGTTTAGTTTAGGTAGCTCTAGCTGATAGCTCCATTAATTGCTCTCTATTTACAATGTTACGCTTCAACGACGAAAATAAAATCATCAATGGGCCACTGCTACCGCTATTCATTCTAATTTTTCTCTTTGCCACTAACATTTCCTTCGTTTTTGGAGCTGATGGAGCCGAGTCCTCTTATTTTCCGACTGCCGCTTCAGATGAAATAAAAAATCTACTCTTTTTATTTTTCTGACGGAATTTTCTTAAAGAAATTTGCTTTTTTAACTTTTCTGGCATTTTGTAAAAGGGTCTTTGTTTGTTTGATTGTTGCCATATTTTGTAACTGGGTTTCAGATTAAAAAACAAAGGACATCTTTGTTTGCTCTTTTTTTTTTTTTTTTGGCATTTTTGAAAGGTCCTTTCTTTTTTTTGGTATTTTTGAAAGGTCATCTCTTTATTTGACTGTCACTGTAATTACGTAACTGGGAAATTAGGCATGTTTTTATCATATTACTTTTTAAAATGATGTGCTCCTATTGACCGTGGTTTTTTTCTAGACTTTGATTTTTTGGGGGGGCCTTTGGTGATGGAAATTTTCAGGGGGTTTTGGCAAGGAGAATTATGGGGTGTTGGATTCTTCTTTGAGGACAAGACAAAGGAGGCAACATTACTCCTACAGCTAATACTACTACTGAAGGTAACGAGTACGGATGTAAACGATCCGAGCCGCTCACAAGCTACTCACGAGTAGGCTCGGTCATAGCTCGACTCGAGTTCGAAGTTGACCAAGCTCTTTTTAGTTCTTACTCATTTTGATGATTTATTCGAGGAGGATTCATCAAAAGAAAAAACAACGGTCATATATTTTGTTATTTTATTATTAAATATCATACTATGGATTTCCAGCTAAAAATGTATTCAATAGCAAGGGGTCGGTCGGGCATCGCCCGGACCAAGCATCTAGTAACTTTTTATGTGATGTTGAATATAAGATGAATGTTTATCTAAAACAAAAAACTAATCCAATTAAATAAAAATTTGCAAAAAAAAGGAGTTAAATGTACACAAGTGTTATATCTAGAAAATTGTCAAAAACAATTGCAATGAAATCATGCTTCACCTCTTTAAGTGATGTGATTTATTTATATCAATTTTAATTATCTTATTTTTTAGTTACCTATTTTTTGGATTAATTTGTGTTGATTGCTTGGTGGTGCAAGTGTGTTTTTCTTTCTAACTCTGCCACTTTGGGGAAGATATCTTTGTTGATGTTTGCTATTACGGCTTCGGTATCTTTGTTGATTTTTGCTAGTATGGTGGTGGATTCGTTCGTGATATTCACTAGTATGGTGGCAGTTTCGGCAGTGATGTTTGCAACCATATATGATGGGGGTCGCTTCGTTAAAGTTGTTTGTTGGTTTGGTGGGCATGGTTCAAAAAGATTCAATCACAGTAGATTTTGTTATTAGATCTACCATTTGGATTTTTCAACCAATGGTTAGTGTTACATCCTTGACTAGATTAAAAAGACTAACGCGTGGTATAACTATTATCTTGCATGAGAGATCTGTGTAGGTTTATCCATTTTAAACTCAAAAACTTCAGTATGACCTATTATAAGTTGTGAATAATAAATTTCCAGCATCTTATTATTAAATTTAACTTTTTCTGAAAAAAAGTGTAAGAGTATCCCCTTAAAATGCTTGAATGGACAACGGTTTTTTTTTTTCTCGTTTTTTCTTTGTGATTTGAAATGTGCTTAAAAATGTGTTTTCAATGAAAATTTACGAATAATGTTGTATATCAGGTTTTACCTACATAGGGAAAAGGACAAAATTTCCGAGTTTTGGTTAAAGACTAATCACTCCGAATTTGTTATACAGACAATTACCCCCTTGACCGCCGGTCAGTGGAAAGGACAATTACTTTCGCAAATCTGATAAACATTACATCTCAATCTACACAAGAAAAAGAACTCGTAAAGGAGCAGCCTGGGAGAAAGAAACGTTAAAGATTAAGCAAGGATAATATAGTTGACAATCTCTGAATGAGCATCCTCATGCTTAGCAAAGAGATTTGGTGCCTAACATTAATCATAGAGGTGCAGAGCGACATGTGTATGTGAAGAATGAAGAAGAGTAGCCAATAAGCGACAGAGTAACACATGCGAGCTCACTTGACGAAGAGATGGTGTGCTAATCTCATTCACATTTACTTAATCACAACTACTTATCTACTCCCCAGTCTGCAAACAATATTCAAATAGAGAAGATTTACAAAGGAGATAGATCCTTGTCATACCATTTAACTCATAATTCGGAGCTTGTACTTTGT